TAGACACCTTAAAGAATTCCATCATGGGGACTCTAGTAATCTTAAATTCTGTGGATTGGAATTAGTAAAAAGGACCCCTAGACGGGGGGATTTTGATAAAACACTTAGACAGAGGGAGTCTAGATGGATATATGAACTTAAAACCCTCCAACCCTTGGGTCTGAATGAGGGCTTTTCTTTTGCCCCCTTCATATAAATATACGACTTATTGGGCTATATATATCCCTCTTATCCTCCCATCCTGTTCTCATTATCACCAGCCCTATGTAAAAATATTTTGAAAGAAATACTTTCTTGAATTAATTTTTTTAAAGGAAATTCTTTACTTTTATCACTTTTTTGTCTATAATATATATATTTTGTTTTATTTTTTAAGACTATTATGACCTATTTTCTTTTTCATTTCCCCCTCCTCCTTCCTATCCTTATGAATCTCCTGTATGTGTAGGGATATTCTTCCTCCAATAGACATATGAATGCTACGGAGGTTCTGTATCTAAATACACAGGTTTGATCAGATGACTATAATGTGTTCCCTTTTTTTGTTACCCTCATATAAGGGCATTTAGCCTATATCAGGATCTACTGGGAAACTTCTGTGACAGCCTGTTCATTTATGTGTACGTAGTATGTGGGGAGTTCGCGGTTCACTTTTGTGCGCTGCTTCACCACTGATATTTTGACATGCGCACTTCTGACTATGAGAGAGTCTCCCCTTTTTTCTAAGTTTGGTGCGCATGCGCGGACACCTTGGCGGGACATGCGCATTGATTAATCCCGGCAAGCAAGGAGATTGGACGTTGCCAGCTGATTACTACCTTATGGGCGGTCAGTAACGGCTATATAGATGGGAAAAGGGGGGGGGGGGGTGAACTATTTTGATACATTATATTTTGCTCTTGAGAAAGGCGGTTTACCCGCCGAAACGCGCGTTGGGCTTATTTTTTCCGATGTATTCTTAACACTTGTTATACCTTAGTGTGGGCTTATTTTTTCCGATGTATTCTTAACACTTGTTATACCTTAGTGTACTCTTATGATATAGTGACTTTGGGGTTGATCGGTTTTACATACCGGGACGACTAACTAGCAGGGATTTACTGTGAGGTGGATTTATTTAGTTTTGTCTGTCCTATTTAGGCTTACTTTATATTTATATTTATATCCATCTCCACTTTTTATATCCCTCTCTGCTTATAATATCTTCCCTATCCTTTCGATTTCCAATGCAAGTCTACTAAAATGCACTTTCTGACTTTCTGCAGGTTTCATATATACAATCATACTCAGCACTAACTCTTTTTGAGTTTAGACTATTATATGGGATAGTGCTTTGACCACTTCCATTTATACTGGAACCTTGCAGTTTATAGACAGTATTGTGTTATATCTGTGAGTCCTTAGGTAATTTGATTTATTTGTTTTTGTTTGAATATACTTTTCTCTCATTTATTTTCAGTGGACTTTTATTAATAGTTTACTCAGTGCTTATATACACCGGGGCGACCACATAGTATAATATGGAGTTATTATGAGACTGACTTTTTCAGCTTGAAGGTTCATTTGAACTTCCTCTTTATTTATATGGTCCTCCTCATTAATTGACTCTTTTCATACAAGTTTATTCAATCTGCACTCTCTGACCTTCTGTTAGGTTCAATGTGTGTTCACAGTATCATATGTAGCTTTAACTTTGTCTGAGTTTTATTTTCTACATATAACAGTGATTGATACATGTTGTTTCCACTAGAACTTTGTAGTCCACTGTCATATATGAGTTGTTAGGTTTTTTTGGTCCTATTCTTAATAATAAAATTTATTTATTTTTCTTAGACGTTGATCTGTTTGGGGTGGTTTGAAGAGGAACAACCTGATTTATCACGGGGTTGTTCTTCCTTCACTTTTTTGTATATTTTGAGCATACCTAGTACACATGCTCCCTCCCAATCCTGTGATAACTCTGAATATGCTTTCTTATCACAGATACAGTACAAATTTGCTGGGGCTTTCCAATTGGATGTAGCAGATAAGTCAAACCATACCTATTTTAAATTGGTGTAATTGGCAAAAGGATTACTAGGTTCCGAGACATTTGAAGCTGACCACCAAGTAGTATCTTTTGTATCAGCATTATAGGCCTTCTGTCCTAAGCAGGTTAACTCTCCAACAGATGTATTATACAGTGGCCCTCTTCTAGCTAAACATACATGGCCTATGATAGATGTTTTTAAACACCATTCTGATTTATCTCTAGTACTTACTTGATGATCAGACTGAGAAAGCATTGTTCATCTGTCTCAGAACCAAGGTACCAAACCTCTCTTGCCTCCCATGGCCATTGGTCTTCCATATTAGTACCTCCACATACAAAGCAGTTAGTTATATTAAAACTACCTGCAATACTCTCAGCCAAATCAATAAATAGGTTCTTAACATTATGGGGAATTTTATCCTCAACACTCATCTCCTCATAGAAGGAATGAAAAACCTGATGAGTTTGAGTAGCTGTCATCTCATTTTCAAGTCCTACATATATTTCAAGTCCTACATATATTGGATCTTCTCCTGTACCATGTATTTTGAAACCCAAAGAGATTCCCAAACTTGTCAATGAAGTGCTGTGGATTGGAAATGGTCATATGCACAGGGTTACACTCCATAGTTTTACAATACGGTGCAGTGGGCAACCTTTGGATAATCATATCTTGATCTACTGTCTTTCCCCAGGTCACTCAACCTACACATGACCAATAAGGGCAGAAGTTAAAGTCTCTATTTGGGCAGTCAGGATCAGTAGATCTTTTACTGGGACATAAATATTTATCATTAAACCCATAAATTCGTTCCCATTTAAGATTACCACATACATTCCAAGGTTTTCCACTATCCGAGATCGCCTTACATGCATCAAATAGTAGAATGCCCATAGAATGTATGGTGCTTATCACAGTCTTATTTATTAAGGTCCCCTGGGAGTTACTGTTCCAAATTACCAACCAAATTCTACGGGGTTGGAATTGGGGATCGAAACACTTGGGCTCACCTGATATCGTTGACACACACTATAATCAGTATCTAAGTACCTACACCTAGACACAGATCCTTTACATTCATATTGTGAGTGCCAAATTAGGGTCTGGGATATCTGGTTACCGGTTTTCATAGTCTTAATACAACTAACACAGCTTGGAATATCCTCACCTTTACCCTCCTGAAAAATTATAAAAATACTAAAGCACATAATTAAACACATTCTTGCGGTCCTCATCTTTATTCTTCGACCGTGCGATGGCACCTCAGCTTCCCGCTTGTGAGGGCTGCAAGGATTGTTGTACTTCTGATCGTCACCTTCACAGAGGTCCCTTCGAGACACTCTGGCTATGAAACGTAGGCAGCTGGTCAGGCTTTATTATGGCCATCAAAACACCTACTTGCTTATCTCTGATGTTACTTTCAACCACTATTCTTCAAAAATCACCTCATACTTCTCAAGTCACGCTCAATTCGACTGGGTCATGCGCTTCAACCGGATCTTGCAAGGATTCTCACGATCTGGAGTAGCTTGCCAGGACTCTGCCGCTGGTTTAACCCTATAGTGATGAATCCAAGGAGTCACTTCCACCACCTTTACAGCTGTTGGGGTAGATAAAAGAACAACATACGAAGGCTAACATGATACACCCCAAGCTTTAACTCAATATGTATCGGTGGGATGTTACGAGCAAGTCCTGGAGGATTATTTTCTGCCCATACTCCTGGAATGTCCAATACAGATCCATCACTCTTTGGGTTTGCTTTTATTATTACAGAATAGAAACGCCATTCTTCTTCTTTTGGCACCAATACCGCTATTATGCCAGGTGATTTATTAAACTTCAGAGACGTTGATCCAATAAGTAGAAAAGTTATCTGAGCTTGAAGCTTTGATAATAGATCTCGTCCTAGAAGTTAAACTGGACACTCTGACATGTATAGGAACTGGTGCTTAACAAAATGGCCTCCTAAAATGCATGTACGACTCCTGAGAATCGGTCTAGTAGTGCTTTTCCTAGTAGCTCCTATCACAGTTATAGTCTTCTCAGAAGGAGGATCTACCAACTTGGTCACCACAGAATGTTCAGCACCTGTCTCAATCATGAAAGGACTTCTCTTTCCCCCTATTGGTACATTGACCATAGGCTCCGCTCGGCCAAGGGGGATGGAACCAGGTCTGTATTAATAGTCTTCCATGACAGTGTCAGCCAGACCTACAAAAATCTCTATCTTCCCTATCCCTAGGTCTCTGGATAGGGGGATAATATCTACCTCCCTGAACACTCCCTCTGCTATTCCAATTATTCCCTCCAAAACTTCCTCTACCTCGTCCTCTATAGCTACTACCATAACCACCTCGCCCTCTTCTCTCTTCTTGTCTACCACCTGCAATATATCCCCTCTGTGGACAGTCACTCTTCCAATGCCCTTCCTCTCAATATGCACATTGATCTCTACCTAGTGGTACCCTGCTCATCCTATTCTCAACTCCTCTATTCATCTCCCCTCCTTCTCTAGCTACGCCTGAAATAGCTACCACTAACATGTCTATTTTCTTCCTCATCTTACATTCCTCTTCACGCTTTGTGGCGAAACCGACCTCGCCACTGGGCATTGGAGAAGACTGATTGCCAGCCTCCTGCCATGTGACTATGGCCCCTGGGATGTATTGCCCTTTAAAGACATGATTTGGGCATAAGGGATTTGTGTTGTGCTGCTGCTGGCCCTTTAAGAACCATCTGGGGACATACTGTGGAGTTACTGGGTGGCCACCATTTCCTGGATGTGGGGATATTTATGGGATAATAATATTAACAGTGAGAATTGCCCACTAATTCAATTCTCAGACCCCAAAGGTCGTTATCGTAAGTGAAAAGTATTTCATATAATTAAAATCACAATTTTGTTATAAAAATAGATTTTTATTTTATAATAACGAATTAATTAATAATAATATTATGCAACATGCACGACAATAATCAATGAATATCCAGTATAAAATGGTATGCAATACAAAGGAATGGCTATACACATTTCAATGGCTAAACAGCATTTTCTGTCAAGACACGATTTATGAGAGAGAAAGCGAAACTTTTCACAGTGAAGGGCCATAAAACCCTGGCTAACAGTTAGAATAACCCTTTCAATGCTGGCTAGACCTCCTAGATAATTAAGATCTATTCTTATGTAATTTTAAATAAAATAACATTTAAACCAGTTCATTAGTCATTTCCTGGAACCATCCAATAAGAGAATCTACCATATTATATAAGCAGAGTTTAATTTGTCTAAAAGATATCTATCTTATATTAGAGCAAATCAATACACCTGGATAAAAACAGCGGTATGCTAACACGTGATACTATCACATCAATATATAATTATTCTTAAGTCCACCTGCAGAATGGAATGTTTATAACTATATATTCTTTAGTTAACTAGGATTTCTTAATATGGAAATCTAACCGTGCTTTATCCAGTCATATCTCATGCCATTAATAAATTTTAATTAATTTAATTAATTAAATGAAACCAGTATAATTACCAGTTGAGTAGATATTTCATCCGATTGGTAGATAGTCTCAGGAACTTATTTGGATGTCTGTAGGTGCATGAGTTATGGTGAAAGGTGGTGTTGGTTAGAAAGTCAGTATAATTCTAAGTGTTAGAGTTTTAAGAGTAGAGTGTTAGTCTCAGATGTTGTCCTGGGTTTCTCTGCATGTCCGATTTGGAGTCCCCAAACTTCCAATTCCTCTCTCCTCTTTTTCCTTCTTTGCATACCCTCTATCTTCCCTTTGTCCTAACTTTTAAAGGGCCAGACTCTCTGTACGTCATCAGTTGATAACCCAATAGAAGCACTAGAGGTGTGCTTACCTAGGGATCGCAATTTAGGTATTTGGTCTATAGAGGGCAGTCTTGTCCCACTAAACATACCTATCCAGGAAAGAGTTAACTTTTCTTGGTGGCTATTTTGACGTCATTTTGGCCTATCTTGATAGTGGCCATAACTTACGTTTCCTTTCAGATCAAACAGTTTCTTTAAGTTTTGTCCAGACTATGTGTCTGGCAAATTCTGAGTTTTGACCCGTAACTTACAATGGGACCTTATACATATAGACAGTAAAATTTTATTATTTAATCTTCTCTGTCACAATTGTCTGGGTTTAGAATTGATTATATTCCATTAGCATTTAGACAGTCTGTCCAACCCCCGTTCTCCTTATCACTTGGTTTGTTTATACTATGCATTCCTTTAGCTCTGGCAAAGTGGTTAGTTTTACAGATAGAAATCTTGTGTCTTTTTGTTAACTTGGAAATAACAAAATGGAGTCTGCTCTGTTCAGAGTGACTCAGAATATACACTTTTAATTTCTATCATAGCACAAGATGTCTGCCAATATAAATACCCTGACATGTATCAGAGGCACATGGTGAGAACAATGGATGAAGCACATGGTGAGAACAATGGATGGCGGCTCCTCTCCCCCGCAGCAGCCTAGCCCACCAAGGGGAGGTTATAAACCCCATGGTCTCTGTGCCCAAACCACAGGGTGTAGGGACAGTCGGTCCTGTTCCCCTGCAGCAGGGCTGTTTATCCAAAGGGGAGACAGCCTGTCTTCCCCTCCAGCAGCAGACCCAGGTCTGGAGTGAGGAGCCTACTACGCCGTTCCCTCACCTGGGCTCCAACCAGGCTACTCCCGTGGTAGCGCTCACACCAGGGAAGAGTACCGCTGGTCTCTGCCCACCCAGCAACCCATCGATCCAGAGTGCTAGTACCCCCCAGAGCCAAGGTGGAGCTCCTGGACCTGGCCAAGCGACCCACTACTCCAGGTGTAATAACCAATTTTCGTGGGTGGGTTATACTGCGGATTCTGTTTTGTGGGTGGGTTGCTGGACTAACCAAGGAACTGACCGACAGGAGGTCAGATACCTTGTTAGTCTTTTTGGGAAAGGGAAGAAATGTGGCGAAACCGACCTTGCCACTGGGCATTGGAGAAGACTGATTGCCAGCCTCCTGCCAAGTGACTATGGCCCCTGGGATGTATTGCCCTTTAAAGACATGATTTGGGCATAAGGGATTTGTGTTGTGCTGCTGCTGGCCCTTTAAGAACCATCTGGGGACATACTGTGGAGTTACTGGGTGGCCACCATTTCCTGTATCAGAGGCACATGGTGAGAACAATGGATGAAACACATGGTGAGAACAATGGATGGCGGCCATTTTAACTCACAGACACTGTTTGGACTTTTCAACACGGTGCCATCTCGCCAGTATTTGGTGCACAGAGACATCGTGCAGTGGTTTTGGACTATACAGCAGGGGGCACATTATACAGTGATTGTTTTTCATTTAGCCTGTATATGTTCTGTGGAATCTGCATTAAACTGTATCTTCCAAAGTACTGAAGATCTGGGTGAATTTTGGGTATGTGGTTCACCCAGATCCCCCGGTTCCAAGGATATACTTTTTATGGGGTTATTTCATGTTTTGGGGACCCTGTGAGGTGTTTTATGAAACTTTATTTCTCTGTCTGTGATAATTAGATTACCCATTGTGTTCAGTAATCATATCACAGGCACAGGGGAGGATTTTGTGTGGGAGTGTCTGTGTGTATTGTACAGATTGATTGGTTGTTCTGTAAAACCCTGTGGGCAGTACTAAGTTTGTCGATTGGGAATAAAAGAGGCTGTATGTGCCAGTACAGTCAGTTCCTGCTTAACCCTCAAAGTGAAGTGTCGTCTCATTATTGGGGGAGGATTTATTGTATGCTGTTCCAGTTTGACTGCTAGGAGTGTAAACCTATTCGCATGGTTTTTCCTATTCGGCTGTATCCAACATTCATATGCTTGAGAGCATTCATATGCTTCTCCGGTTCGGTGGTTGTGGTGTCTGCTGCAGTGCTTGGAGTCCTCAGGAAGCGCTAGGAGCATCCTTCAACATAGGTACCCGTCGGGGTGCCACGTGATCCGTTACACGCTTTGTCTCAGTTTCCCTATTCATATACACCTTATTTGCAACCTCCATTAGCTGTGATATGGATATCCCTGCAAATCCCTCTAATTTCTGTAGCTTTCTCTTAATTTCGCTCTGGGCCTGGCTGACAAATGCTGAGTCTATCATTTGGAAGTTTTCAGGGGCTTCAGGATTGAAAGGAGTGCACAATCTATTTGACTTAAGCAGTCTCTCATAAAAAGCACTGGGTGATTCATTAGCTTTTTGTAACACTTCAGCCGTCCTGGACATGTTAATTGCCTTTTTCCTTCCTGCCTTCATGCCAGCAATAATGGCTTGTTCAGTGGCGTACACATGACCCATGGGGCCCCGGTGCGAAAATTGATCCAGGGCCCCCCCTCCCCTACGCTTACTCGGCGCGGATCGGGGCCGCGACACATGGCGGCGGGCACCTGGTCGCAGGGGTTGCAGGGCTGCGACCCCGCGACCGCGGTATGCACACACACTTAAAAGACCACTACAGACACCCAGATCACATCAGCTCAATGAAGTGGTCTGGGTGCCAGGTCCCTCTAGTTTTAACCCTGCAGCTGAAAACATAGCCGTTTCAGAGAAACGGCTATGTTTCACTGAGGGTTAATCCAGTCTCTGGTGGCTGTCTCATTGACAGCTGCTAGAGCAGCTTCCGCGATTCTCACTGTGAAAATCACAGTGAGAAGACACTGAACGTCCATAGGAAAGCATTGTGCATTCGGAGCTGAGAGGCGGACACTGGGGAGTCCGACGCTGGAGAAAGGTAAATGCTGAAGACACACACACACACACTCAAACGAACAGACGCATACACACTAGCTAACAGACACACACATTTACTGACAGAGACACACTCAGCGACAGACATACATACACACTCACTTACAAAACACACACTTTCACTGACAAACACACACTCACTAACAGACAAACACACACAGTAACACACTCACTAGCAGACACACACAATAACAGACACACTCACTGACACACACACACTAACACACACACATACACTAACACAAACATTTTTTTTTAAATGTAATCCCCCCAGCCTCCTTACCTTTTGGAGTGCTGGGGGGATTCCCTGGGGTCCAGTGGTGCTGCTGGGCTCCTGGGCGGGTGGCTGGTCGGGCGGGCGGGCAGGCAGGCGCGCGAGGGAACACTCAGTGCTTCCTCTTCAGCTCCCTCGCGCGCCGCGTAGGGATGCCGGCGCCGGAAGATGACGTCATCTTCCGGCTCCGGTATCAGTGCGGTGCGTGAGGGAGCTGAAGAGGAAGCACTGAATGCTCCCTCGCGCGCCCGCCTGCCTCCCGACCGGCCACCCGCCGGGGTCAGCAGGGCCAGCCTCGGGGGGCCCTGGGGTGGCCGCCTCCTGGGCCCCCCAGGAGAAGAGGCTGCCCCTGTGGCTACATACCGGGTCGCAGGGGCGGCCGGGCCCCCTGGTGGGCCGGGCCCGGTCGCAGCCGCGACCCCTGCGACCCTGGTATGTACGCCACTGGGCTTGTTGATAGGCCTTTAGATGGATCATGTCAGCACCATTTACATTCCAAAGGTCAGTAATAATTGCTGACAATCAGCCCAGGTGGGATTGTGTGTTTGTATAATAGAGGTGACCAAGTCAATCATGGCTTGAGGTTTATCGGTGTACGAGGAGTTATGGGTCTTCCAATTGAACAGGTCAGTTGTGGTGAATGGGACTGTAACGGATCACCTGGCACCCCGACTGGGTACCTCCGTTGAAGGATGCTCCTAGCGCTTTCTGAGGACTCCAAGTACTGCAGCAGACACCACAACCACCGAACCGGAGAAGCATACGAATGCTCTCAAGTAAGCAGCTGAACAGGAAAAGCATACAATCAGCTTACACTCCTGGCAATCAGCATACAATCCAATTCCCCCAATAAGGAGACGACACTTCGTTTTGAGGTCAAGCAGAACTGCCTGTACTGGCACATACAGCCTCTTTTATTCACAATCCACAAACATAGTACTGCCCACAGAGTTTTGAAATACAACCAATCAATCCGTACAACACACACACAAACACTCTCACACAAAATCCTCCCCTCTGCCTGTGATATGATTACGGAACACAATGGTTAATCTAATTATCACAGGCAGAGAAATACAGTATCATAAAACACATCACAGGGACCCCAAAACATGCAATAACCCCATAAAAGTATATCCTCGGAACCGGGGGGGTGAACCACATATCCAAAATTCACCCAGATCCGTTCAGTAGTTTGGAAGATACAGTTTAATGCAGATTCCGCAGAACATATACAGGCTATATGAAAAATAATTACTGTATGTGTCCCCTGTTGTATAGTTTAAAACTACTGCATGATGCCTTTGTGCACCAAATACCGGCGAGATGGCACTGTGTAGAAATGTCCAAACAGTGTCTGTGAGTTAAAATGGCCGCCATCCATTGTTCTCACCATGTGCTTCATCCATTGTTCTCACCATGTGCCTCTGATATATGAAATGGTGACCACCCAGTAACTCCACAGTATGTCCCCAGATGGTTCTTGAAGGGCCAGCAGCAGCACAACATAAATCCATTATGCCCAAATCATGTCTTTAAAGAGCAATACATCCCAGGGGTCATAGTCACATGGCAGGAGGCTGGCAATCAGTCTTCTCCAATGCCCAGAGGCGAGGTCAGTTTCGCAACATTTCTCCCCTTTCCCAAAAAGACTAACAAGGTATCTGACCTCCTGTCGGTCAGTGCCTTGGTTAGTCCAGCAACCCACCCATAAAACATAATCAACAGAGTGGCCCACCCACAAGAATTGGTTACTGCACCTGGGGTAGTGGGTAGCTTGTCCATGTCCAGGGGCTCCACCACGGCTCTGGGGGGGTACTAGCCTTCCGGATCGGTGGGTTGTTGAGTGGGCAGAGACGGCGTGGGCGGACGGCGAACATATGCGGTAAACTTTGACCCTGTACCTCACAGTCAGCAGACACATTCCAGCCAGCACATCAGCAGCAGACCCTCCCTCCCAGACCCTCCTACCTCCTGGACAGCAACCATTTTACATTCATTGTGAAGCTGCATTCTTAGTGAGCTGTCCAGGAGGTGGGAGGGTCTGGCAGGGAGGGTCTGCTGCTGTTTGGCTGGAACCGTTCGGGACATCACTACCTGTGATACATACTGCCGCTGGGGATCTGGGCCAACCGCTCAGCATCCCTGTAGGGCCGGTAGAAAGACCGCCGTCCCATCTCCACCTGCCATCTGTGGGTCTTCCCAGGACCAGTCTGTGAGGTCCCTCAACATTTGCGAGTAAGGACCGCCTGCTTCCGCACCTGGCAACTCTGGCTGCTGCTGGGGATCTGGGCCGACTGCCCAGCATCCCGGTGGGCCCAGTGGAGAGACCTCGGTCCCATCTCCACCTGCCTGTTGTGGTTCCTCACAGGACCAATCTATGAGGACCCCTACTTCGGGTTCCTCTGGCCGCCTCAGTGGCGAGGTCGGTTTCGCTACAGGGACATAGACAAACACAGGATCTGCCCGTTGTATTTGGCCATTTTCGTCAACGTGTGTTGGGCTCGGTGTAAATCGGAGGGGCATTTGGCAATGTCGGGATGGAAGGGTGCCAGTCAATTGTCGGATTAGTATGGGACTTCTGCAAGGCTGCTCAGTAATAGGTTCCGGTCTGGGAGTAGTAAAATAGGTGGAAGGGGGTGAGCTAATTTTACTAGTCAGCATTTGGCGGATGAAAAAATAAAAAAAGTGTTAAACCAAAAACCTACCAGTAGGTGTCACCAGATGGTAAGTAATTGTATCAAAATAATCTTTATGGGTCTAATAATAAAACTTAACTTTTAATATATTTATACATAAAATAAAACCTTATAGCAATAAATATATTAAAATAGGGTAAGCAATCCTACTTCTGTCTGTTGTATGCCAGTATAGAGTTAAAGATGATTAAACAATGTAATATCAATGTAACTCCCGAAGATGGCCAGTATGTGGCCCTAGAGTGCCTCCCTAAAGTCTAATGAAGCAGAGAGATTAATTATGTGCTTATTTTAATCACTGTTCACCCTGATATCTAGGCTTGAGTAAAGCTTTAGTTCTATGGTAAATTAAACATCTCAGTTTGTATTTTAGTAAAGAGGATATTTTGGACAAAGCTGGAAGGGGCCCATCCAGTAACTAAAAAAGGATAAAAGTGTACTCTAGTATATTATACCATTGATCATTTCTTCCAGTTGTATTTTAGACTGTCACTGAAGGCACATAGTGTTCAGTAGTTTTAGTGCTATTTCAATGATTATGGTACAATGTCATTGCTGAGAATTATCTGATCCAATAGACTCAGTTACTGTTATTAAGAATTCTCCTCACAATTTAACTGTTAATAAAATGCAATGCTAAAATACACTTCTACCAAAAAAGGAAGTCAGTTCAAATTACAAAGAACCAGTGGGGGTTGGTATAGAAATACAAGAGTTTGAAACACAGGAACAGATAGGTATGTGGGTAGGCGGGGACAATAGAGCAGGGGGAGTGCAAATACCAGATATACCAGTTTTAGTTTGGGAGGAAGAGTGGGGGAGTGGCTACTCTAGCTCTGGAGGATGAATAAGGGGGTTGGTAATCAAATGCAAGGGGGGGAGGTGTCCAAACTAGGTGGAATTAAGGCCTTAGTTCTGACCACCATGTGGCTCCATTGTTCCTCATGACAGTTTAATTCACCAAGGCAGTTTTTCAACAATCGGTTTCCAACAGTCAATATATGGAAAGTGATCATAAAATTACGGCCTACTAGTTACAGCCACATGTACACCCTGCACTAAATTTAAGTCAAGACTGCCACATGGAGGCCATGCGGCCACCAGGACAGGCCACTCCCTACTACACAGGTTTTTTTATTTAACATACAAGACAAAAGGACCAACAGCCTTGTGAATCAGAAGATGATTTCAACAGAACGTATGATTTAAAAGCTGTACAAATATACACACAGTTTCAACAGTCACACCAATCTCCTTATCACCAGCACCACATGGCACAGTTACTAGGCCCAAACACACACAGGATCCTCACATGCTCAACAATATCACAACGTCGCACACACACAAGTAAAATCAAGACTCACCAAACACTATATACTAATCAATGCAACTATTAAGGAAGTCATACAATTGTCCACACAATTAATCAACATTAACTAACCGATAGCATAACATTTCAACAATTTCGTCTCTACAGTCAGTGGTTATGGTACGGTTAGTAACTATTATACAGTTTAGACAATTATGACTTTAAAGTTATAATATCACTTTGAGAGATATACAGAAAATGGATGCCATAATTGGGCACTATTTGCACAATTAGTATACTTTCAAGTTTTCTGTTAAGATTTAAAAAAAAAAAATAATAATAATAAACCAATCTGCAGCTCAAAAATTCTACAGTGTTCTTGGTCCTCTCTGATGTTAAACCTTCAACTCCTGGCACCTCATTAAATTAAGTCAGTCATATATAAGATATGATATATTCTTACTGCATTCAGTGCCTTAAAACTATTTAAATATACCCGAAATGGCAGTGTGCAATTTGGCTCATATATACTAATGGAATTTCATCACGTAATCTCAAAAGAGACTTCTAGTAAGCAACTGATATCATTGCAATGACAGACCTTATACAGGAAATTCACACTACACTCCTGTATTTTCACTAATTAAACTACTATTAAGTAATAAACTTCATACAATGTATAAATCCAGGGGCTAGGGTTCATGGGATACCATCTGAGTTTCTTTTAGGAACAAAGTAGGGGCCAGGGAGAATTTTCTGAGAAACATGCAACAAATGAGGGATTTTCTGGCAACTCTTTATTCATTAGCTAAATATGCAACACAATAAATAAAGATGTAATTTATACATTCCTTGAGATGCAATAAATTTGCCCTTCACAACACTGTAAGTCAACTTTATTACCCAAAAGGAATAACATGTCAAGTATTTTCTATATTTAATGCAGCAAACATGGTAATTCCATATTATTTCATTAATATTTAATCATATACATTGACTGAAAAGAATCAATTTATTTATGTGAATAAAAATAAGTTCAAATAACGAACTGGCAAAAACTGCCTACCATAGATTTTCACACAGTTTATACAAAGACATTAGCAGTAAACACAGTCATATTATCATACAGCTCAAAACAAGAAAAGCACAACACAGTAATTATGTACAGATAAACAGAATGGCGAATGAGAAACGCAAAGTGCATGACATTTTTAAGTAGATTTTATCACAAAACAAGGGCACAGAATAAAAATTATTATTATTGGTATTCTAATAAATGGACAGTCATAAAATATAGTATAAAATAAATTTGCCAGATGCACCACATACAGCATGTAGTTGATTATTTATGTACAGCTGCAAAAAGCTGTAAAAAATACATGTATAAAGTAAAAGAAAACATTCATGTGGTTTAATCGCTGGCACATATAAAGGTTATAAATGATATATATATATATATAGAATATAGCATATAAGGATCATACATACATATAAATATTTTCTCACCCCTCCTGGGTGGTATGCTTATTCCTCATTCTCAGGTCCTCTACCAGAGGGCTAAGAGTTTGAGGGTTCTGTGCAGTATCTTAGCTGTTCCTAGAACTGCACTGTTATGGACAGCGATCTCAGATGTCCCACCTGGAATCTATTGAATCCACTCCCCCAACTTGGGAGTCACAGCCCCGAGTGCTCCTATCACAACTGGGACTACTATTGCCTTCACTTTCCAAGTTTGAACATCTTCAAGAAATCTAGTGACACAACTGGAAATATATATATATATACACATACACACACACATAAAAGTATGATCATTATATTCTATATTGCTTACCATAAATTCCCCTTTCCTAGTGACTGGCCATTTCTGTTGTAGTAATGATGCAGTTATGGTCAGTATAGCCAACAGAAATTTCTCGTGGCCATCTGTCTTCAAAACTACGACCAGCCAAGAAGGAAAATTAAATATTGAGGCGTTTAACATATAAGCTAACCCCCACCAAATGGAAAAAGGGGTGAAGCAGTTACAAACATTTAAAAAAATAAAATACCAGAGTTCTTTAAAGGACCACTATAGTGCCAGGAAAACATACTCGTTTTCCTGGCACTATAGTGCCCTGAGGTTGCCCCCACCCTAAGGGTCCCCCTCCCGCCGGGCTCTGGGGAGAGGAAAGGGGTAAAACTTACCTTTTTTCCAGCACCGGGCGGGGAGCTCTTCGCCTCCGATCCTCCCCTTTGGCTGAATGCGCACGCACGGCAAGAGCTGCGCGCGCATTCAGCCGGTCTCATAGGAAAGCATTCATAATGCTTTCCTATGGACGCTTGCATGTTCTCACTGTGATTTTCACAGTGAGAATCACGCAAGCGCCTCTAGCGGCTGTCAATGAGACAGCCGCTAGAGGATTTGGAGGATGGATTAACCCATTTATAAACATAGCAGTTTCTCTGAAACTGCTATGTTTATAAAAAAAAAAATGGGTTAATCCTAGAGGGACCTGGCACCCAGACCACTTCATTAAGCTGAAGTGGCCTGGGTGCCTAGAGTGGTCCTTTAATATATAGTGATAATTCAACATGAATTCCAAATGTAAGGGCATAGTAGCGGAACCGAAATAAAATGCTCTAATAACTTGGATCATTTGTTCACTTTAACAATTGTGACCTTAAATTTGAAATTCATTTGGAATTCTCCTTTAATTCTCACTTTAGTGAAAAACCTGTAATATTCCAATACTTTAGCACAGCGGCTTTGAAATTTGTATAAGTATGCCAAGCTAGTGCTTTATGTGTTGTAATCAATAAAAATGCAAGGCACTCTTATCTTGTAGAATACTCAAGCCAAGGTAAGATTCTGTATATATCATTTTATAGTTTGGGAAAAGTTCTTTAAATAATACCTACATAATTAAATTATGTAAAATGCATGAATCTATGCTGTTTCTGAAAAATGTGCTGTGTTTTAGAGGAAAAGTACAGATGCAGAGGAAGACAGGACAAAATAACACCAACCAGAAATCTGGGACAATCACCAGAAAAATGCACGCAGATTAGATTAAACCAATGATATAAATCTCTATAGGTACAGATCGTTAAAAGGACATTGCATCTTTTTATCTATTTGTACCTATTATTTAGGTGTATAAGGGGACACACCTAATAATTCACCCTGCACTTTTTCCTCTTGTAAGAAGCGCCAACACACTTTGCCCTACTTTTATTCCATAAATCTCTATAGGGTGATATTCATGGCAAATATGGTACAGCAACATCTGGAGGGCTGTAGTTAGACATCCCTGAAATGGATCAGATGATCATATTGAAGACACGTAAACACTGGGGGCTCTCACACATACCATATAGTGTATTCTCCTTATCTCAAAGGCATTCACTCACTCCTAAATAGAGCAGTGGTTCTCAGCCCTGTGCTCAACAGTTCTGGATTTACCAGTTCTGCTCCAATAGAGATACTGACAAAACCTGGACTGTTGGTGTGCCATGAGGACTCTGTTGGAAAGCACTCAAACTGAGTATATTATAGGCACTTACACACAACTGAACAGAGAATTATAATAGTGTTAAATGCACTCACATACGGATAAGTAGAGAACTCTGTATTCTAAAAGGCATTGACACACAACTAACAAGATAACGCTCTTATTCTCAAAGGCACTCACCTGCTACTACACAGATTATACTCGTCATCTCAGTATGGCACTCAAATACTACTGAATAAAGCACTCATAAAACAGTAGCATTCTAACAATGCTGTAATGGGTGTTAAAAATCAGTTTCAAGCTGCAAGCAAAGTTTTTAACGGAGGACCACCAGACAATACTAGAATGAGTGATGAAGACAGAGATGTGTAAATCAGGATGGAAATCAGTTTGTATCTTGACAGTAGAACTCCAAATGCAGATACCAGTATATGGCACCTTAAACCATAAAGCACAGTTGTCCATCATACAATCCTGTGTCTATGCTGGTAGGTTGAGCTCTTCCAGCCACAGGACTTAGAATGGAATGGATACCCAGTCATTGACCTCAAGGACACCGCATATACTGCGAAGAGGTTGGCTTGAACGCTGGGAACAGGACCTGATTAAAGCTAGTAGTATAGAGCTGTATTATTTTTTTCAATTATTATTGATGTACTGAAGACAGAGGACATTGAGCTTGTACTTTTTGAAGAGATTAAAGAAGGACCAATAGGTAGCGTTACCAAGTGAACAGCAACACAAGACAGTATAGCAGGAGTAGATAAGTAGGTTTCAGGAACTTGGGATCACAAGAACTGAAACAGGATAGATGCACTCAGCTGCTAGTGTTAGTTGATATCCAGAAAGTAACGGTCTGGCTACAAAGTCTTTCATGAATCTTCCTTATGAGCCTGAAGCATTATGTGGGTTTGGCAGCCACATGCACATCAAATAACCCCCAGCAGTGGGAAGTCGGGGTATAATTTATAATTGAGCATGCCGCAGCTCATTATAGTTTTCTAGTCCTATATGCACATCACTATGACTCTCAGCAACAAGAATCCCTGAAAAGCAGTACTGGGATCACAGCAAAGGAGATGGTTATAAATATTGAAATTAGACGCTTTGGCAATAAATCTTCTGCAAAGAAAACAATTAAGAAAAAGCTACAGTACTTTTTGCAGTTCACGACACAGTGTTGCATCTTTGTACATCACTCAAGTTTTTTAGAAAATCCGACTGTTCTACTATATAACATAAATGATTAAATATGGCCTGCTCATAGATTATGTCTCCGGGGGATTGCAAGGCATCAGTAAAAGCAAACAATGCTCTACCAATGGTAATTTTCATAGAATACTATTTATAGTCCCTGTTATTAGCCAAACATTTTAATTCACCTTCACAAAATAAGCATGTTTTCATCTCATAAAATAGTCATAGACAAAGGTCTGACTATATCCAATTACAAAAACAAATAAAGCAAGCTCATTGATAAAATATAAATATGTTAGCCATCACTTTTGTGAAGTGCATAATGTGACCTTTTGTATGTGGTCGCTTGCAGTTTTCTCATAAAGATAGAAATATATAAGGTCACTATGGAAAATAAATCACCGTCTTACTATTTTAGTCAGTTATAGGTGTGCCCTTAAAGTGGAATAGTTTCTCAAATCTGACTATCCCGTTCTTCTGGGAGCCCCATATTATATATGCATGAATCTGTTACATAGCTTCACAAAAACCTATCTTTAAATTACAATACATGTGTTAAAATTAGTCTGTGCAAATAAAATAATTTAGTTTTGTCATAATTTGTATATTATATAAAGTATTGTATGAATTATAGCCTCTGTATATACTATTTTGTAATAAATACATATAGCTAAATAGCTCTTTTTAGTGCATTATCTGGCTTACCTTTGGCTCATGGGGCAGCCATTTTTATTTTGTATAGGTCATAAGAAACACTTATTCCCACATAATCCACACTGGTAACCTAAAGATAGTGAGACGTGACAAATTTTGATATCGCTCAGAAGCGCCAGGCTTCTCAAATGGACTCTGACTGTTTCACCTATTCATTGCTCAGGATAATCTGTCAAAAGCATCTAAAGATAGCTGCAGGAAGACCAGGAGATGCAATAAAGCAAGTATTTACGTATGAATGTATTATAAACTAATACACAGAGGCTAAATTACATGTACTCTTTATTTTAATAATATAAATACCATAATTTTTTCTTTAATTACTCTTCAGTTACATAAATGATTATCAGTAAGTCATATATTTGCCTAAAATCTGCACGAATATCCCTGGCAAGACTAGCTCTACCCTATATAGTAAGAGTGCCTCTTTGGCCATTTGCAATATTGAGAGGCATGTTGCGGTAGTTTGAGTAAAAATGATATAAATATTAAATAAGTAGTCTTTGTTATGACCTAGAAACAATAAAAATGGCTGCCCCATGAGCCAAAGGTAAGTCAGGAAATGCACTAAAAAGAGCTATTTAGCTATATGTATTTATAGGCCTGTCTTGATTTTCTCCTTTTTACATGGCCCTATGCAAGATGTTAGTAAGAAAAATGTATTCTGCTATAAAGCACGGTTTCATATCTGTTGAATAGATAATATATTTGGTTTTTGCTCATTTCTGAATTTCCAAACCATACATTTATTTGATTGTCTCCATTTTCCTCTTCCTGAGTGTTCCAATGTCATCGACAATGTGAACAATGTGTGAATTGTGCTCTCTAGGATGTTTAGATGAGAAGCATGCACATTTCATCTAAAATGTAGGCATGAATGTGACAGGTTCAGTAGGCATCTATTGACCTGGGAGAACACTCTACTTACAATCTGACAAGACAGTTTGTGACATGATGCAACTAAAGGCCCCAGGCCATTTGGAGCAGCTCAGTGTCACCACTGTCAGAATCAGCAGATAATTAGGTTTTATACTTACATTGTGAAAAGTAAATCATCCACATGTTACTGACACCTATTTTTCAATCCTTTGACACCCACTATTGGTTTACTGACTAAATAGTGAGTTTTAGTAAATCTAAAACCAATTTAACTAAATTATGGTAGCATAGTCAAGATGGAAATATAATCCTCTATTTAATAGGCTTTCCAAATGATTCATTCATGTTATAAAATATTTCCAAATTATTTATCTTCAAATATTCCTAGAAACGTTTTACACACATTAGGAATACAAATTTATATTTCTATGGTATTCTTGTCCCTACATGCACAAAAATAAAACAACATATTTTACTTACCTGTTTTGAGCATCAAGGCACCCTCAGTCCCTCATTCCCCCACTGAAGTCACCTGCCTCCTCCGTGAGGGTTCTATCCAATGCTCCTTATAGAGAAGCATTGTGGGCCTAATGCACAGGTGCGGCAAGTGCTGCACTGAACCAATGCTTTCCTGCGGGACTTCCGCATCACATGATCAAGTTTGACTATGTCAGTGTCAGTATGACAGCCACTAAAGAATGCGTTTTGCATTGCACAGTTAAGGGCACAGGGACACTGCACCAAAACCACTTCATGGAGATGAAGTGGTCTTGGTGTCTAAAGTGTTCTTTTAATGGTTATTTCTGTAGATAAACCATTTGGAAAGTTTTTCTAATAGAATTTCCTCATTTGGAAAGTTTGTTAAATCAATGCCTTAATGTCAGAATTTTCAAAGTTGGCTATTTTGGTCTACATTTAGAAAATGTAGCAGAGGCTTGTTAAATGAATAAACCCGTAAATTTGTTAATATATTGACTCTAATCCCGTTTGTTTCCCACTATGTTTTAAAACATTGTTTCAAAATGGAAACACATTTAAGGTCCTACACTGTCAATTTACATGAAGAACACACATTGCTCTCTCTGTCACTTCACTTCCATGGAGGCCTTTGTTGCATTGTACCCGATTCTTTCCTAATTGACCCTCTACCTGACCAGCTTGCTGCACGGGCTGTGTCTCTGCTTGAAGAACGCCTATGAGATCTGGCACTAATTGAGGGTCCTGTTACAGAAGGAGAACCACCGCAATCAGAGTCATTGTCTGGGACTTTCCAGAACTCTCCTTTCCCCTTGTAAGTCCCCAAAATACTTTCTGATCCTTCTGGGGGATGTACAGCTCGGACAGGAAATGTATTTGTAACTGGTTTGGAGATTTGTGGACGTAACACTGGGGTAGGACACCATAGGAGAGGACGTAGTCTTATGGAATCTTCTTTCTTCACCCATGGTGCCTCCCAACCACAATCGTCTATCCCCTGACCAAACAGAGTCTCATCACAGTAAGAAGGAGTTCGACTCTTCACCCTAAATAGAAAGTTGTAGAGAAGAAGTAGTCATCAAAACCTCACTGTTATTAAAGTGACATTAGAAAGTATTGACCAGCATTACAACATTTCCTAGTTAGACCTCTTGATTCACTATTTTTGGATAAGCTTCACAAATGATATAATAATTTTGTATAAACGTTTAAAATTATTTATTCAAAATATTAAAATGATATTTAAAAGATATATTAACAAATCAAAATATCAAAATATTTTTAGACTATTAAATAAATTTAAATGTTTATCCAAAAATATTAGTTTGAAACGCTTATCCAAATACATTAAATCGAGCTCTTAACTTGCTATTCTTGGTACAAGACACAATATCCCATGCTCCCTACAGAAGGATGTATATTCACTTCATACCAGGTCCAAACAAGTGCCACTGTGGTTAATGCAGACATCCAGCTGCAGACTGCATGTAATTGTACAAAGCAACAGTGATTTACTTATATGATGGCTTTTCTATTGACTCTCAGGAGAGGAATTATGGTGTTCTCACAAGCAAGTACTTGCCTTTATTTCTTTTCATTTTCCTATTTGGCTGCCACACTACTTTCTGCAAGGATTCGTTTAAATAATTTATATGTATGCCCATTTTAAAGCTGTCTTTCTCTTCCCAGGCGATGCTAAACAGGGAGATGGTAAACAGTGAACTGATAGCAGTTGCAGTAATGCTGCTAACAATTTTGCAGATGCAGACAGACCCAGTAAATGGTGATTCAGTGGGGAAATGCTAAGTTAAAGAGTTACTCCTAGTATCATAACTACTACAGCCTAAACTTCTACGTTAAAGGATCACTATAGTGTTAGGAATATAAACATGTATGCCTAACACTATAGTGCTAGAGTACATGTTTTAGGTCACTGGCCCCATGTTTAGTTGACAATGTAATGGTTCTGCCCATATCTGAAAGTATTATCTATATAATGTATTAAAAATCCTGGGTCAAAAGTAACATCAACAATGCCTTTATATTATCAATCATGATATCATTTATCTACATTTGACAGAGTTGCACACTTTAAAGCAACACTGGTACCGTCTGGGGTCTTTGCATAATTTCTAAAGACCCCCGACAGTGACATTGCCGCTAAAGGCTCAGGAGGCCGGGAGGAGCATGGAAAGGTAAATTCTACTTACCTGAACCTTCCCCTCACAGGCGCCGCCATCTACTTCTGGCGGGTCCTCTTCTGCTCCTCAGGCTTGAGCTACCAGGAGCCAACATAACTGCTTTATTTACGGCAGGGAGATTTATGGAGCATTCCGCAAGACCCTCCATTGACAGAGCTAATTTCCCTGGAGCTGTTACCGGCAACGGCTGGGGGAATTAATACTTCTTGACAGCGGTAGCTCCGCCCAGTGTCAAGAAGTGTCAGGCATTGGAAGAGTTCTGAGAAACTGTAGTCCCTACTTTATCTCAGTATATCTATTGACTCAAGTGGAATTTCAGAGATTCTATCTTTATGAAATACTCATTTTGAAGGGGAGGGTTGGAGAGGTTGACAATGCCACTGTAATAACAAGTGGCTCAATTATAATAAATAATAAAACTTAGAAAAAGATGAATCCCTCCAGAGCTCCAGCAGGATTAAGGCTGTTTTCTTCTTCTCGTATTTGTAATAGGACCATGGGTTTGTTGTTTTATGTTATTATGTTTTTTGTTGTGTTCTAGATGAGCCTAGGGTCAGTAATAGGATGGTCACACAGGAAGATGCCATGTCTAGTTATACTATGTCAATCTAGATGTTTAACGAATATAAATGATTGTGTGAAATTTCCCTGTTAGAACAAATCTGGAACACTGTATTATGTTAAATGTATGTATTGTGAGAAAAGAAAATTCTAATAAAGAATATAAATAAAAAAAAAAAACAAGTGGCTCATTTTACCATCAGTGGACTGGTGAAACCAAGTCTTTTCCCTTTGAAATTGCAAGCTTGCACTGCACTATATTAAACCAGATAAACTCTCCTGTACCTCCAGAGTCATGTCTTGAAACCTCTCCCTAGCAGTACTATATCCAATGCATTTGCCATTTTACTATAATTCATACCTATATTGTGTTTTCTTCCTGGGGCTTCCAGTTGGGGTACGGTTAGTCCTAGAGCTGGTGCCACCTTTGGTCTCTATAGTTTCATTTTGACTCCACACACGTGGGACCTCACTTGGTGGTCCTGGACTCCACTGTAGGGCTGGTTCTGCTCTTCCTGGAATGCTACTAAACAGAGTCTCATCAACATATGAATTTGCAGCTTTAACACGGTACGTGCTGCGCCCTTTGCGCGGAGGAAATGAAGTGCGACGACCAGTAATGGAGAGATCTAGAGACATGTTTGCAGTAGTCAGAGCATTAGGCCTGGAGGACAGAAAACAACTAGTCAAACATAGTTTAACATTCCAACATACTGTAACTAACAAAGCAAGGTCATGTTCCAGTGTAAACTGTGTAGACTTGTCTAACAGAGCTAGACTGATATGTATTCATTATAGTGGAGGATTTAATTTGCAAATATATCTAAGGATACATTCAATCTCTCTAATTTCCTCTATTGGCAAGCAATTATTAACAATCTGCAAAAATATAATATGTGCCTTTATTGTGATATAATGGATACTGGTTGGAGATGTTATAGACACCTTCAGCCAGGAATGGTAACTAAACATATCTTCATGAGATATGCCAATTTGATAATTTTATACGTGCGTGAATAAAGTGGTTTTTATATTTGTATACTATGCACAAGTATGTCCCATCTGGGCACCTAAACTCTGACGAAGACCTATGTCTATCCTCTGTTCGTACTCCTACCTCTGATGCTTACCTTAAAAAGACTTCTCTAGGGCTGCACCGTTCCTGTGGAACTCACTTCCCTTCTCTGTTAGACATACACCCAGTCTCCACTCATTCAAAAAAAAATCACTTCTTAAGGAAAGCGTATGAATTAAACTGTTAATCCCCCTCCCCCCACACACACCTTGATTCCTCTCCTGCAACGGTCATCAAAACACTTTTTTCAGCGAATACTATTCTACCAACCTACTTTTCTACTCCTACCCTTACGCTCATTAAGCACTCAACCCCTCTGTTCCTGTTCATCCAACTTGTCTGGTTACAATTATCGGCGTTATATTAATAATAATAATATACAGTCTATATACTATGTTTGTATTCTCATTCCTATGGTGCCAAACTTGACATGAGGATTAACCGCTTCATCATTGTGGAATTTTGTGGAAGGGGCTTTAATAATAAATTTCTTGTGATGGTTGTATTGACATATTAACTCCAACAGTATTAAAAGAGTATTATTCTAAAAAAAAAAAAAAAAATATATATCTTTTTTGTGTGTGAATATTTCTCGTTTACCTGTTTGCTTTGGAGAAATTACATAAGAAGAGATTAAAGGAAAATCTCTGAGAAAGAGAACCCTTGTTGAACTAATTGTTTTTGAGTGCTAGTTTATAATTTATTTCATCATCTGGTCTGCATTGTGGATTTCACAGTAAAAAGACATACATAGCACTTTTTTTTAAAATACATGAGCTTTAAAAGTTGTGTTTTTTTATTTTATGATTATTTGTCTCCTAAGTAGACAAATCAAACAAAAATATATATTTTTAAACCTTCTAAAGTTATTTTCCTCCTATTTTGTTTGCAATAAAAACATGAATGTGTAATTTTTGTGTTAAATCACATTATTTGTAACAAATGCCAAAAAAAGAATTATCTTTGGTATTTGGAATCAGATTCTATTTTAGTTCAAATTAATCTTGAAATTAATTTGCATTAATGAAAGGATCGCACACTTTCTGTCTCAGCTGGAGCATTTCCTGCAGGTTTGGCAAGAAAGAGACGATTAAACACAAATCACTAGCTAAATCTTGGTTAGCGTGACAATTTTGAAAAGTTTTGGGCATATGGTTTGCTAAATGTATTATTCTTCAAAATTAAAAAAACTAACTAAAAAAATATCTAAATGAGATATGAACTAGAGCAGTGATGGCTAACCTTGACACCATAAATAGTTTCTGGACTACATTTCCCATGATGCTCAGCTAGCTTCTTAGCTAGCTAGCTGAGCATCAATGGAAATGTAGTCCAGAAACAATTTATGGTGTCAAGGTTAGCCATCACTGAACTAGAGCAATCCAATCATTCTTAATGTCCTTAAAAACGCGACAAATATCTTAGATATTACTCAGATAAAAATTCTAAATGATTCCTATGATATTCATCAAATAAATAACTAGTGTAAAAAATATAAAGCACAAAAGTGACCTAGATAAAAGAAATGAAAGATACAAGGGTCCCCCAGGCCATCAAATAACCAGGAGGCAGGGCCGATGCAAGGAGTTTTGCCGCCCTAGAAAAAAGAAAAATTTTGCCCCACCCATATTATTTGCCATATGAACTAATGCCAGTGCTGCACACAGTGTGTGTTTACATTAAAAAGCCTGCAGGGACAGGCTATAGACACCAGAACCACTTCATTAAGCTGCAGTGGTTCTGGGGTCTATAGTGTCCCTTTAATGTGAAGTAAATTAGAGATTAGTTTTTACTAATAATATAATAGATTGCCTACTTACAACCAGATGAGGATGGTGATGGGCTCTGGCTGCAGTTTGGCTCCGCTGGTTTGGTGTAGAACAGGATCTCTGAAGGCTGTTTGTAACTGTGGTCACAAAATTCAATGTTCGGGGAGAACGGGAAGCAGCTCCATTTTTGGGGCCCCTTACACAGCTCAAGGTCTGGGCCTCAGGGCCTGACGGTGAGTATGCCCATAAGGACCACTCATAAGTCCACCTACATGTTCCACCCATGAGTTCGGTCACAGAGAGTGGAGTGTGTAAGGGATGCGTTATGTGTTATTGAAGAGGATCTAATGTGTGTGCTTATGGAATGTAGTGTATAAGGGTACCAGTTTGTGTAGGTGATGCAGTGTGTTTGTGTGTAGTGCAAGCAGTGTGTTTTTGTGTAAGGGATAGAAAGCAGTGTGTGTTTGTGTATTAGGGATGTATTGTGTGTTTCTGGTTGTGTGCATAAGGGATGCAAGGTGTGTTTCTGTGTATGTAAGGGATGCAGTGTGTGTGTCTGTAAGGGGTGCATTAAGTGTGTGTAAAAGATGCAATGTGTTTCTGTGTGTATGTAAGAGAAGCAGTGTGTGTGTTTCCATGTGTGTGTAAGGGATGCATTGTGTGTTTCTGTCTATGTGTGCAAAGGATGCATTGTCTTTATGTGTAAGGGTTGCATTGTGTGTGTGTGTGTGTAATGGATGCATTGTGTGTTTCTCTGTGTGTAAGGGAAGCATGTTGTGTTTCTGTGCGCGTGTAGGGATGCATTGTGTGTGTGCAAGTATTGTGAAAGAGCTCCCTGTCCTTCCCCATGTCCTATAGAGCTCTCCCTTCCATCCCTTAGAGCTCTCCCCTGCCCCTTAGTGTTCTCTCCTCTCCCCCCCCCTCTCCTAGCGGTCTCTTCTCCTCACCCCCCCTGTGTTCTTCTCATCCCCCTCCCTGTGTTCTTCTCATCCCCTTCCCTGTGTTCTTCTCATCCCCCCCTGTGTTCTTCTCATCCCTCCTGTGTTCTTCTCATCCCCCTTGTGTTCTTCTCATCCCCCTCCCTGTGTTCTTCTCATGCCAACCTTCCCTGTGTTCTCCTCCTCCTCCCTCTCCCTGTGTTCTCCTTACTCCCTCCTCTCCCAGTGTTCTCCTTACTCTCTCCTGTGTTTTCCTCACCCCCGTGTTCTCCTCACTCCCCACCCTCCCTATGTTCTCCTCCTCCCCCCCACCCTGCCTGTGTTCTCCTTACTCCCCACTCCTGTGTTCTCCACTCCCTCCCTGTGTTCTCCCCCCCCCTCCCTGTGTTCTTCCCCGTGTTTTTCACCCACCCCTTCCCTCCTTGTGTTTTTCTCAATATCCCCCCCGTGTTTTTCACCCACCCCTCCCTCTCTGTGTTCTTCTCACCCCGTTCACCCCTCTTGTTCTTCTCCTCACCTCCCCTTCCCTGTGTAGCGTGGCCGAGCTCCTTTTCGGTCCGCGGTACAGGAGCTTCTATTTCCTGTACCCGGCCAGACTGACAGGAAGTGCACACTAAGGTCTAAATTACCTAAGAACATTACCTAAGTGTGCATTTCCTATCAGTCCGGCTGGGTACAGGAAACGCATGTTCCTGTACTGCGGACCTGAGAGGAGCTCGGCCACGCTACACAGGGAAGGGGAGGGGAGGAGAGAGTCAGTGCTGCAGCCGCCTGAGGCTCTCTATAGAGCACTCAGGCGGCTGCAGCATTAGGGCCGGCGATAAGGGCGCAGGGCGCCCCCTCCTATATGGCGCCCTAGGTGGCTGCCTAGTTCGCCTTATAGGAAGTGCTGGCCCTGCCAGGAGGGAATCATTAATCAATAACAAGGTAGGCCTCATTGAGTAATATATGTTTTCCCAGACCTGTGTATGCTGTTATAGGGGATTAATTATCCCACTGGATAGGTCACCAAAAACCTGTTCATCTGTCAATGCTGGTTCTGTGGGATAAGACATAAGTACCCATCATCTGAGGGTCCTTATGATGCTTAATGATTCAACCTCAATTGTTTTCCAGACATGATGAGTGTCCAGAGAGGGGTTAGAAATTCCGTTCTCCAGGTAAGGTGGGTGAGGGATTCATAAATAATTGTGGGGTTCTAAAATAAGGAGGGAGCATCACACACACACTGTTCCCTCTTAAAAACATCCCTGGGGATTTGTATTTTGCATATGTAGGTGTTATTTTCAAAAATATAACTGTGATTCACAGGGTTGTTTACTAAAGAGAGAATTCAAAGTAAATTGCACATTTTAATAAACTGGGTATATGATTTCTTTTTTTGAGACTAACACCTAAAAATGCAAAATACGAATCCCCAGGGTTGTTTTAATGGGGGACAGTGGATGATAGAGGGTCTTTTAGAACCCCACAATTATTTATTAATTGTTAATAATTATAAACTGTAGTAAAATAAATCTGAACTGCAAACTTTAGGCTAAGATCCAAGCTAGTGTGCTGTATTTAGGCAACACAAGAAATCTTGCATAGATTTCTAACTTTTTCATTAAGCAGCTTGCACCATGTGCAATGTGTCTTACATCACGTATCCATAATATACTATTTGGAACTGTGTGCAGTTATGGTATGTTCTGGATCTGCGGATTGCAAATAATTGCTAAGCATACTTTTACGCCTGAGTGCAGCACTATCCTTTATTTCCTATTGTACGGTGCTGCAGAATTTGCTGGCGCATTATAAATAATAATAATAATAATAATATTAACCCCTTAAGGACATGACATGTGTGACATGTCATGATTCCCTTTTATTCCAGAAGTTTGGTCCTTAAGGGGTTAAAGGGATACTGTAGGCACCCAGACCACTTCTACCCATTGGAGTGGTCTGGGTGCCTTGCCCCTCTCCCCTTGGAGAAACCGCAGTGTTTTGATTACAGGGCTAATCCAACGTCTAGTTGCTGTCTCTCAGACAGCCGCTAGATGGTGCTTCTGGATTCTAACAGCACCAAAAGGGTTTTAAATTACATTTAACGTCCCCACGCTCTGCATGAGGACGTTGAGCGTCACCAGAATCCCCATAGGAAAGCATTAGGTCTCCCCTGCCAGCAGCCGGCGCTGGATCGGGGTACATTGGCGCTGGACCAAGGGGTTATTAACCCCTTCAGTGCCACGGGAGGGGGCCTTGACAGAAGGGGAAGCTATAGTGCCAGGAAAACGGGTTTGTTTTCCTGGTACTATAGTTTCCCTTTAATAATTTAATTAAACCATAACAGTTTTGGATTGTTTCTACAAATCAACTTTTGTTCAAGTGTTGCCAATCCCATTTATTTTGCAGTTAAACGATTAGTTCTTTCAGTGCTTATCCCCCAATGTGTGCAGGAACAGCCATTAATATAAAATGACATCTGACAAACACCAGTTGCAGGTATTGTGATGAAAACAGAAAAAGAGATTTGCCAATGTTTAAAACTAAAAAGTGAGCTCCCACTAAAAGGTCTAAATTACCTAAGAACATTGTAGAACGCTGCAAAATGTGCTGCAGCTTAATACATAGACATATTAATACACCTAAGAACACAATTCTCTTAGCATGATACATGATAATGTTACAATGTATCCCATTGTGACAGACAGTTAGTACATTGCTAATTCACTGACACCACATTTACTGAGTTTAAAGGGACATTGTAATTAACGCTTAGTTACCCAGGGCTTGCACCGTACCTGATTTCTTACACAATAAAAGTGTATAAAATAATGATAACTCACTGCTGTCTGTCCAGGCTCAGCTCCCATGGTAATAGCACAAACAGCAAGCGGTGCTCGTCCATCTACCCACTGCGAGAGGGGGAGCTCTATTGTCCATGTCTGTGTGTTTTATCACAATAGGTTAGATATTCCTCTAATAAAACACGATCCACACTGCCCTGTCTGCGAGCGCACTCTGTCAAACAATGCGAAAACGGGTTAAAATCGAAATACGAAAAGAGAATGGGGGTATAGTGCTCCCCCATAAAGAAAGTGCGAATGGTATCCTCCAGGAAGCCACGTTCTATCACTTCCGGGTGTACAGGCGACACGTGTGTGTGACATAGAGGCAGGAGGTTAGTGGAAGTTCGGTACAGGGGGATTATCCGTTTAGTTATTGAATGCGGGCTGTAGGTAGGGCGCTGTACTTAGACTAAATATTGAGCGCAAACAGCGTAGAAGGAAGAGCGGAAAGTTACTAAAAGAAGGAACCACAATAGGATACACAGGATGCATTTTAACTCCCATCACACGCAGCTCCACACAGCCTTACGCAGATTTCCGGCAACACACAGATTGAGCTGTGGAGCACATGGGGCATAATGCAGGTTTTGTATGTAACACTACACATAGTGACCACAGAGGAGGGCTAGCAATGAAGCAAGTCACCCTGGGGCCACTAAGCAACTACAGTCGTGATCTGCAGCCCCAGATTATCATTAGGCTGCGGATTAAAAGCACCAGAAGTTGTATTAGGATGTCTATTGGCAGATTACTACATGGGCAAAGGGCAAGACCTTAATGTTTTCTTTGACTTGATGGTTAATTTGAATGTTTCCTGGTGAACTGTGTTATATGGGGCCTTCTAGGTGGCAAACTATAATGATTGTGGCATTATGGTGATGATTTTTTTTTTTTTTTTTTCCTCTAAAAAAAAATGTCTATCTCCAAATAGAAATGGCATTCAAGAAGCGCAAGGGATCCCGGGGAAGAAAACCTCCTAAACACCAAGATGGCGATGACAGTGACACAGGGGAGTTTGATGTCCAAGTTGGGATGTCAGAACAAGATGAAGTGGTAAATGAATGGTCCACTAATTATGGGCATAAAGAACTGCTCTGAAACTGGCTATATTTTAGGTCATTGCATCAACTGGGGTTTGCATTATCTTATGTTGGAGACTAAACTGTATTAATGCAGTCAGGGTAGATTTACAGCAAATCAATTTAAAGGGACACTATAGGCACCCAGACCACTTTAGCTCATTGAAGGGGTCTAGGTGCAAACTCCCATCACTCTTAACCCTGAGCATGATTTTTATAAACTGCAATAATGACCTGCCAGGGATTATTATTATTGGTATTTATATAGCGCCAGGTTATTCCTTAGCGCTTTACAATAACAGGGGAATGTACCAAATGAGACAATAACAAAATGTAACAGGAACAATAGGTAGTTGAGGAGGTGGGGTAAAAAAAACACAATAGGAAGGGTACTAACGGGGACAGCAAATAGAAATGGTGGGAAAATAGCAGAACTGGAGGTGAGAGTGGAGTGTGGCTCTTTAGGAGAGCACGAGAGGAAGGTTTGAGAGATAGAAGTTACTCTTGGAGGCTATAAGCAATCCTGAAAAGATGGGTTTTGAGGGACTTCTTAAATGATTGGGGAGAGTCTGACAGGGGTAGTCAGGCTGTTTCAAAAGAAAGGAGCTGTCCGTGAGAAGTCTTACAGGCGTGAATGTGCAGTAAGGGTGCGAGCAGCAGACAGGAGATGGTCACCAGTAGAGCGGAGAGACCGAGAGGGGGCATACCTATGAATCAGTAAAGAATTGTAAGAGGGGCTAGAGTTGGTAAGGGCTTTATAGGTAAGGGTTAGTATTTTAAATTGACAAGTGTAGGGTACAGGAGGTCAGTGTAAGGATCGAAAGAGGGGTGAGGTGTGAGAGGAGCGACTGGAGAGAGAGATCAGCTTGGCAGCAGCATTCATCACAGATTGTAGGGGGGCGGTATGGCTTCTGGGAAGACCAATTAGGAGACAATTACAGTAATCCATGTGAGAGATTACTAGAACATGAACCATCTCCTTGGCAGCATCTTGCATAAGGTAGGGGCGTATGTGGGCAATGTTTTAAGCTGGAATTGACCGGTTTTAGCAACAGACTGGACATGAGGCCCAAAGGTGAGGCCAGGATTAAAAATGATACCAAGACAGCGAGCTTGAAAGGATGGGGTGAGGCAGGTACCGTCAACCTGCAGGTGTTTTGAAGAGGAAAAATAAGAAACTCAGTTTTAGAGAGATTGACTTTCAGAAGTGGGAGAACATCCAATCAGAGATAGAAGAGAGGCAATTGGTGACACGTTGTAGGACAGCAGGGGAGGAAAGGTGTGTGTATATAAGGGTGTCGTCGGCGTACAGGTGGTAGTGGAATCCATATGAATTAATAAGTTTGCAGAGAGAGAACAAAAGGGGACCAAGAACTGAACCGTGAGGGACTCCGACTGAGACAGTATGAGGAGAGGAGGTGTCGTTGGAAAAAGAGACACTGAAGGAGCGTTGGGAGAGATAGTAGGAAAACCATGAGAGGGCTTTGTCACAGAGACAAAGAGATTGTAGAGTTAGGAGAAGGAGGCCATGGTCAACAGTGTCAAAGGCAGCAGAGAGGTCAAGAAGAATTAGTATGTAGTAGTGGCCTTTGGATTTAGCTGCGATTAGGTCATTTGTAACTTTAATAAGAGCATTCTCAGTAGAGTGGAGGGTGCGAAAGCCAGATTGAAGAGGAGGGAGTTGGAATTTAGAAAGGGGGTCATACGAGTAAAGACAAGTATTTCTAGAAGTTTTGAGTAAAAAGGAAGCCGGGATATGGGACGATAGTTGGAAGGGGAAGATGGGTTTAGAGATGGCTTTTTTAGGATGGATACGACAGTAGCATGCTTAAGGGGAGCAGGGACAACACCAGATGAAAGAGAGCAGTTTACGATGTGTATTAAGTACAATACAAGGGGAGAGAGATCCGATAAGGTGGGAAGGTACTGGATCAAGTGGACAGGTGGTTTGATGAGTGGAGAAGCGAAGCCACATCCTGTTCTGTAGCTGAGGAGAAGGCCTGTAGGGTAGGGAAGGTACGGTCGATGTGTGGTTGCAAAATGGGGGAGAATTCTTTCCTTAACTGTTCAATCTTGTCGGTGAAGTAGCATGCAAGGCTATTTGATGAAAGGTCAGTTTAAAGGGTGGCTTGAGGTGGGCGAAGGAGAAAGTTGAAAGTATTAAAGAGACGGCTGAGATTGGGTGAGCATGAATTAACGAGATGAAAAGTAGGATTGTTTAGCAAGGGTGAGGGCTGTGTTATATGAAGACAAAGTGATCACTATGGTTATGCAAGCATTGCCTGTGACTTAAAGGAACACTCCACAGCCAAATAAAATATATAAATAAAATCACTATTTAGTAAATATACCCCCAATGAATACATGCATGAATTTGGCCCATCTAGTCTGCCCAATTTTCCAAATACTTTCATAAGTATCTTATATCCAGGATAGTGTTGTGCCTATCCCATGCATGCTTAAACCCCCTTACTGTGTTAACCTCTACCACTTCAGCTTGAAGTCTGTTCCATGCATCCACTACCCTCTCAGTATAATAACACTTCCTGATATTATTTGTAAACCTTTTCAGCTCTATTTTAAGACTATGCCCTCTTGTTGTGGTAGTTTTTCTTCTTTTACATATACTCTCTTCCTTTACTGTGTTGATTCCCTTTATGTATTTAAATGTTTCTATCATATCCCCCTGTCTCGTCTTTCCTTCAAGCTATACATGTTAAGATCCTTTAACCTTTCCTGGTAAGTTTTATCCTGCAATCCATGAACCAGTTTAGTAGCCCTTCTCTGAACCCTCTCTAAGGTATCAATATCCTTCTGGAGATACGGTCTCCAGTACTGCGTACAATACTCCAAGTGAGGTCTCACCAGTGTTCTGTACAATGGCATGAGCACTTCTCTCTTTCTACTGCTAATACCTCTCCCTATACAACCAAGCATTCCGCTAGCATTTCCTGCTGCTCTATTACATTGTCTGCCTACCTTAGTTTGTCATCTGAAATAATTACCCCTAAATCCCTTTCCTTAGATGTTGAGGTTAGGGCTCTTATCAAATATTCTATAATCTGCCCTTGGGTTTTTACGTCCAAGATGCATTATCTTGCACTTATCCACATTAAATGTCAGTTGCCACAGCACTGACCATTTTTTGTTTACTTACATCATTTGCAATTTGGCTTATCCCTCCTGGAACATCAACCCTACTAATTTTTGTGTCATCAACAAAAAGACAAACCTTACCATCCATGTTATGACATATGTGCTCATCACATTCCCCTCTTTGTTTAAGGGGCTGCAGATTAAGCAGCCTACCCCTCATTTATCTCATGTGGAGACAGGTCTTCCAAAAACTTGGCACGGTCTTTAGAGAACCTCAATCCACAGATGGCTTATTTGAACAGACCCTAATCACACTGCAACCTCACCCCTTCAGCTAATAAGCTTATTCATAGAATGTTTACGGCCACGTGGCTTAGATTTGCCCAATGTTGCAAAGGCTCATTATCACCAGAATATATGCTTTGTTTGAAATTATTTAGCATTAACTAAAAATAAACCCCCAAAACATAAATCTACTTTATCCATAGCACTCTCCCTTTAGTATAATTCAAATATGTTTGTGATACCTAATCATCTTGGCTACCACATGGTTTTACTCAAAGGGGGCATTGTGGAATGAGCTTGTTTATCCATGCTGTTCCTTACTAATCATGAGTTCAGATTTTTTAAATCTTGTTTTCACGCAGCGCCTTCCAGCCTTCCCCACAGCTGATGCTGATTCTGATATAGAACTTGACACAGCAAGACAAATGGTTCGAGCACAGAATAAGAAGAAAAAGAAATCTGGAGGGTTTCAGTCCATGGGTACGTGATATAAAATATTTTTAAAGTCTACTCTGGTCTCACTAACACAGCAAAATTATGTTCTGTCACTCATTTTCTTGACAGGTATGTCTCTAACACGTAATTACAGGACTTTATAGTGTATCATGTGAAGTAAGAAATTTGTAATCCAAATCTGATCACCACTATGCCCATCATATTAAAAGACTGCCATGTTTAATTCCTGGAGATGATCTTCTTTGTTATCTATATGAAGTCTTATCTAGACAACAGTAGTAGCAGGTTACTCCATGATACATATTATATGTGGCTGGTAGAGGACAAGAGACTGTTGACTATGGGTTACTTTTTGCTCTGCAGGTCTTAGTTATCCTGTTTTTAAGGGAGTGATGAAGAAAGGGTACAAAGTTCCAACACCGATTCAAAGAAAGGTAAGATCTGAGACATCTATTCTAGCACATGAGTGTAGCCAGCATGGCGATGAGAGACAAATCCCAACTCCATCCCGATGGATGTAGCTTTTAAAGCAAAACATATTTGAATTAGTAGCGTTAGCTTTTGCACAATTTAAAAAAATATATATTTTATTTAAAGACACCAACATTTCAAGAAGATACATAAATACACATGAAACTATTAAATATCAGTACTTTTTATTCATTTATTTAAAACATTTTATTGATCACTTGTTTTCTTGTTATAGCGGCAGTACTGACCAGCCTTAAAAAAAGGACAGGTACCAATTCCTACCGGCTGATACTATAAATTCCTCCCCTGTCTGTCCTGTGATCAGGGTAGATTGGTACTTACTAGAATAGAAATTGTTGGTGGAATGGTGCAGTTTACTGTCCAGGGCATAATTAATCTAGCAATGTGCTAACTATTTGTTCTTTCCTAAAAGTTGATTAGTTATTTTTGTTTCATATCTTGTCTTTATATATGTTTAAAGACAAGGTCAGATAACCTAGAGAATGGGAAGTAGATTTCATATAACATATTTTCAAAACTGCTAAATACTTCACTGTAACATTAAACAAGCCCCACCTCATACCTGCAACACATTATATTTTAACTTGTTTTAGTGTTTTCTGTAGTGTGTGTATGTGTATTTCTTTCCGTATAACAAACACTTACCGTCATAATTCAGGTGATACCCGTAATTTTGGATGGCAAAGACGTGGTAGCGATGGCTAGGACTGGCAGTGGTAAGACAGCTTGTTTCCTCATCCCTATGTTCGAGAAGCTAAAGGCTCACAGTGCCCAGACCGGAGTCCGTGCTCTGGTATTGTCACCCACTCGAGAACTTGCCCTACAGACCCTCAAATTCTGTAAAGAGGTAATGGGAACATTAGTCAGAAATGTATCTTGCTATTCCTTTCTCACCATTACTGCACTGCTCTCTGTGTTCTGCTACTCTCCTTACCATTATTGCACTGTTAATTTCAATACACATACTCCTTATTGCACCTTTCTCTAGTCTTAAAATGCTGCTCCCTCACAACTACCTCTTTTGGTTGCTATTGATTCTATTTATTGTTCCCGTCACCTGGCTCCACCTTGGACATTTTATTTCTATTGCACTGATAAAATGCAGTTGCTCAATTAGGATATATTGCTGTAAAAAAACCTTTATACTCCTTTACATCCTAGATCCTTTTTTTCTGATGCTCCCTAAGCACAACTTCCTTCTCCCTCACATACTGTGTTAACACAACTAATTTGATGCTTCCCATCTCAGCAGGTAGATTCCTTTTAAAGTATTTTTCATTCTTCTCTTGCAGCTTGGAAAATTTACTGGTCTGAAAACAGCCCTTATCTTAGGAGGAGACAAGTAAGCCGAGTGACTGCTTATTATGGAAATTCTATATGTTTTTCAGTAACCCTTTTTGAACCAGTGCCATTTTTGTGCAACTACTATTGGTAATTACTTATTGGTAATTCATGTTCATGCTCTTTCATTAAATAAAAACTAACTAACAAAAGGGGCCTTGTTTGTTCCAAATTTGTGGGCTTTGATACATCTAAACTAGGAAATACATCTCTCTTAACCAATCCTTCTCCCCCATAGTGATGTACAAATTTAGGTTTGGTGCTAGGAATGTGGTCGGTACTGTAACACTAGAGTTTCAAAAGCAAAATCTTCACCTCTTAATGCATTAAAAATATATGTATATTTTTTAAAAGTAATGATATTATTTTTGGGTGATGTCTTTTTCTGATGCATTCATATAAAGAATTGTTTAAATCCATAAAGTGATACTATAGTCGTCAGAACAACTACAGCTTAATGTAGTTGTTCTGGTAAGTGTAGTTGGTCCCTGCAGGCTTTTTGCTTTTAACACTGCCTTTTCAAAGAAAGGCAGTGTTTATAGTGCTCAAAAGCAAAGAACAAGGCTGCGCCAGAGTGATTAAAACAAGTCCAGATAAAATAATAGAATGTTCAAATAAAAAAATGTTCAAATAAAAAAAGTCCCAATAGTGGATGGTGTCTTAACTGATATGATGTCTTCCTTTTTATGGTAGTGGTCGTCCGTCTCACGATATGAAAGACACAATGGGAGAGAGCCAATTGTGCAGAGTGTATAAATAAATAGTTAAAATTAAAATATAAATTACACACTCACATTTCCATGAGCTAGGACTAGCTCTAGTATGATGGGCATACGGCGGATAACCCTCCGCTTATAGGGGTGCTTGTCCTCCTGGAGAGTCCTGGTGTCCAATTCTCAAGGAAAGAAAATAAAAACAGCCAATAGTGCTCTCTGGTGAGGTAGTTGGTAGAAAGATAAAAAATAAATAAAATATACTCACAAGTGGAGTGCAGGTCAATCTGCACTCTATTTTTCGCGTGGGTGGTATAATCCCCACCTTAGGATATGCCAGGAACAATAAATGAGGTTAAAAGTAATAATAAATATAAAATTATTTATTAGTACAATATATTTAAAACCAATAACGCGTTTCGCCGTAGAGGCTTTATCAAATTGGAATAGTATTCTATTATATTTATTATTAGCGCTAACCTTTTTATCTTTTTTCAGTGTTTATAGTGCTGTCTACGGACAACTCCAGTGACAGTCACTCAGATGACCACTAAAGGTGCTTCCTGGGTTGCACTGACATTCAGCATCTCCAAACTCTGCATTGATACACTGAACTTTCCATATAGATATGTATTGATTTAATTTCTTTAATGAGGTGCTGATTGGCCAGTGCAGCATTTGACTCCGCCGCACCTCCTTGGCTGAGATCATCAAAATAGACAACCTCAGCCAATTCAATGCTTTCGTATGGATAAGCATTCGATTGGCTGAGATCATCAATTTTGAAGATGTCAGCCAAGGAGGCAGGGCCAGCGCCGGCACAATTCCGCGGTGCTGGAAGTAAGGTGACCCTTAACACTATTAAAGAGGGTCTAAGTAGTGTTTCTAACACTATAGGGTCAGTAATACATGTTTGTGTAGAATTCCAATTTTAGGCAGCTTAGGAGATGCAAAATAATAACAATACCATAAAGGTATTTGAATGAAGATGAATTAGGACAGAACAAACTATCTCCAAGAGCCATAGTGGGATTTGTGGCTATGGCATTCAAATACGAATTGTTAGTGTGTTGCTCTAATATGCATGTCTTTCTTTCTCCTGATAGAATGGAAGATCAATTTGCTGCTCTACATGAGAATCCTGATATGTGAGTATGAGTTGCTTTTATTTTTATTTATTTTTGTCACCTAATCTAGAGATGGTGTGCGTGTATTTCTATACTTCAGTAATTGGGTTGACGCATTTAATTTGTGTGCGGATGCTATAAAATGTGAAATCAGACATCATATTTGATTTTGTTTTAATGCTGCTTCTTTGAGTCTCCCAAAATTCATCACGATTTCTTCCTTGTTGTGTCTACAGTATTATTGCCACACCAGGTCGTCTTATGCATGTCGCTGTGGAAATGAACTTGAAACTACGCAGTGTAGAATATGTGGTGTTTGATGAAGCTGACAGGTCAGTGACATTCAGTGCTTGTCCTGCCATAACACAAACAATGGAAGCCACCATCTCATTCTTACTCTCTTCCTGTTTCAGACTTTTTGAGATGGGCTTTGCAGAGCAGCTGCAGGAAATTATATCTCGACTACCAGAAATGCGTCAAAGTTTGCTTTTCTCTGCCACCCTTCCTAAGATGCTGCTTGAGTTTGCGCGGGCTGGTGAGTACTTCCTGTATATGGAAATATTTGTGTGATATTTGTTTTGCTTTACACTGCTACATACCACTGGGTTTAGGGATGAATTTTTGCTCTATGGTGCAATACAGTGTCTCTAAATAATGTACTTTGTCTAGGTCTTATTGCTACAACTGATTATTCTTGTGTTGACTCCTGTAGGTCTTACTGAGCCCGTGCTAATCCGTCTAGATGTTGACTCAAAATTAAGTGACCAGCTGAAGGTAAGGTATTATAATAATGAGAAACAACAAAATCCGTGTATACCCTAGCAGACCTAAAACTAATATTTTATTTATTTTCTCAAACCCTTTAAAGTTATCATTTCTTCATGTGCGTGCAGAGGATAAACCTGCAGTACTTTTACATCTTCTGCGCTGCGTGGTGAAGCCTCAGGAACAAACTGTGATCTTTGTTGCTACCAAACACCATGCTGAATATCTTAGACTGGTAAGCGGGCAGATTGGTGTTACTGGTGTAAATAAAGGCATATTTAAATGTACACTACTAATTGATCATGTGAAAAGTGATATTGCCAGTTCTGTCTTGTTCCATCTTTTTATTTCACACCATGTTAATTAGTGCAAGGCTGGTATAGTGTCACTTTGATTAAGTAAGGAAAAAGTGTTGTATAAAACAGTGTACCAGAACTGTATGTAATGAGCTGGTGTCTCTGAGAAAGATGTGGAAATCCTTGCAACATTTTAACATATGTATATGAAACCATAACAAAGTGTCTTTAGTGAATCTCACTTTGTTCTTTGTGTTTGTTGTGTTGCACAGTGAGTCAAATGACAGACTTCTCTACAGTGATCCTTGCAGTTAGTCACTGTCCTGGCAGGAAGCATTCATAGATTGGTCAGAATGATTCTCAGTTTGGTAGAAATATGTGTCTTCGACTCTTTGAGAATATATTTTTATTTATTTATTTATTAATTCCTTGGCGCTAAAGCAATAAAAAAAGGAAGGAAGGTTCCTTGCAAAGATATGTAGTTTCTTGTAAGCCTTGATTAGCCTGTAATTATTCTTAATATTTCAAGCAGTCTCCTGTTTTGCTAAACCTATATCTCCACCTTTCTGTGTTTCACCTTCCCAGATGCTGGACATGCAAGGAATTCCTTGCTCGCACATCTACAGTTCTCTGGATCAGACTGCTAGGAAGATCAACCTGGGCTTGTTCCTGCATGGGAAAGTCCGAGCACTGTTAGTTACCGATGTGGCCGCCCGTGGTATTGACATCCCTATGTTAGACAATGTCATCAACTACAACTTCCCCCCGAAACCAAAACTTTTTCTGCACCGTGTCGGTAAGGAATCAACAATTTTTTAAAGTGGGGAGGAGGGGGTACTTTTATAAACAATTCACATTTGTTTTGTTCTTGTTTACACTTTGCTATTTCTCATACAAAAAAGGACGTGTGGCTAGAGCCGGACGAAGTGGTACCGCGTACTCTCTTGTTGCTATCGATGAAACTCCATATGTTTATGACCTTCATCTTTTCCTGGGGCGACCCCTGAAACTAGCAGGAGATCTGGGAACAGACACAGGTAAAAATTACATTTTTTCTTTTTTTCTTTTTAAAAAAAATAAAAAAATATTACTAATACATCTACCAATCTTTATGCTGAAGATTTAAATTTTGCCTTCCACCTCTAGATGCAGACACTGATGGAATGTTAGGGCGAGTACCTCAATGTGTGATTGATGATGAAGACGCTTTGCTTGTTACTGACCGGGAGCGATCTCTAGATCTTCAGAACCTCAATCATGTAGTTGAGAATGCATACAAACATTACTGCAAATCTAGACCAGCCCCAGCTTCTGAATCTATTAAACGGGTGAAGGATGCTAATTATGCCCAGCTGGGTATCCATCCCATCTTCTGTAAGTGTCATCTTGTGCCTTTTGCAGTTACCCACTTCTCTCTCTCTATTTCCTGATTGAATGGACAGTCACATACTCTGTGTATTTAATTTTTATTTTTTTTGTTCTTGGCCATTACTGCTTTGCAGGCAGTAATTCTAATATCTGGATTGCATTTAATCTTTGTTTTAGTAATTGTTTTGCTACTCTTCCTTTCTCAGGGTCTCTTCTTGGTTTAGAAGAGCTGCAGAGACTAAAGTTTGTGGACAGCATAAAATCCTATAAATCTAAAGCGGTGAGTGATGTTGCATTTCATTGTGCATTCTGGTCTATCTGGGCATAAAATAACAAACCTCTTCCTTTCTCTCTATAGACCATCTTTGAAATTAATGCCACCAATAAGACCACAGCCAGCGAGGTGATGAGAGCCAAACGCAGTCAGGACAAGGGTGTCATTGCCAAGTTTCAGCGTCTACAAGATGAAAAATCAAGTGAAAAAGTACAGGCGTCAACCAGCAGGAGACAAAGTGTCCCATCCATGAAGGAGAGTGATGAAGAAAATTTTGAGGTATGAAAATTTCAAAACTGTGTCTGTTAATTTTCTTTGTCTTTTCTTCTTTGTGACCCTATGATACTTCTTTTGGTTTCTGTATTTAGGGTGTCTTCTCACAAGTGGTTGGAAAAAGGAAGAGGAAGGACACCGATGATCCTGAAGGTCGCAAGAAAGGAAAAGGTTCAAGTTCCCAAGAGTCTGACTACTACATTCCTTACAAACCAAAGGACTTTGATAGTGAACGCGGGTAAGAATGTGCATGAGTTTTCTAGCATAGCTAACGTGTAAACAAGGCTACAGTTGTATCTGAGTCCATTAGAACGCTGCAAAACGTGTGTAAAATAGACATAGTGTGATGGTTTAGCTGGAGACTTGGAAATCTGTGCCTTCAGCAACATGTATATATTTTCTTTCCTTCACCTCCAATGTGCTGCAGTATAACACAGACACATTTAAAGTGATCTAGAACATGCTATTGGAAGCAAAGGATGTTAACATGTTCAAATGTAGACATCATATTGTTGGCTTATATATCAATCAATATAACCATCGATTTTGCAAATACTGTAATCAAAATAGGGTCCAAATTCTGCTACTCTGCAGTTCAGTAAATCTTTAAAAGCTCTCTATCACTTGGCATCCTCTTTTACCCTGACTTCTCATGAAGTCTCCACATTCTGTCAATCTTCAAATTCACCAGTTTCATCTTAAAACTGAATACTGATACCTGCCCCTTGATACCTAGTGTAGTCCTAATGCTTGTCCACACTCTTACCTCTCTTCCTAACTACTGCAAAATGATCCTCATTGATCTTACTCATGTCCATATTGACCACTTGTATATAATTCATATTGAATACTACAGCCAGTTTCACTGGCTTCCCAGTTGCTTTAAGGTTCAAATTAAAATTCAAATGTCTACAACAGAGTGCCCTAGTCTGCATATTCTTACTGATAAAATGACCCTATCCTACCCTTCATCTTTAGTGAATAATTGCATCAATTGTGTGATTGCATTCACACCTTCAAGTGTGGCTATGGTTGCACTGTTCTAATAGAATTTCTTTCCCAACCCAATTAGACATTTGCCCAGTCTTCAGGCCTTTAAAGCAGCTCTGAGTGCCTCTTTCCACACTGAAGCATTGACTTAGTCCAACTGGTGGCTATTTTAGCAGTTGTTCTGTCTGGATACTCCAGACTGTTTTGACAGACCGCAGATGTTCAGAAGCGGGGAAATGTCCATCAGGTACTGAGCAAAGAGGACTGTTACTATATCACATGTTCTAGCTGAAAAATGTGAGAATCAAGTGTTCAGTTGTTTGAGTAACCTGGAGATTTTCATCTCCTTCTTAAAGGATCCTTAATATCTTGTTTTGTACAAGGATGAAAGATTATTGGTAGACATTAGAGAAGTTTGTGAATATTTTATGGCATGTCTGTTAATAAAGTAAGTATTTCCCTCTGTCTCCCCAGGCTCAGCATCACAAACAACAGCTTTGAGAAAGCAGCAGCAGGGGCGGTGCTTGATTTAATGGGAGACCAGACAGAGGATCTAAATAAGAACAAGCAGATATTGAAATGGTAAGTTATTGTGAAAGCAAAATGACCTTTTCATAAATCTGTTTTAAAGAAGTGGTAGTAACTATTCTAGAAAACACATCCATCTGGGAGTTAAAGCACCTCTTTACTCTGGAGTCAATACAAATTAATTTATTTTGTTTTCGGTTGTTTTCGGTCACCTGTTCTAGTGGAAAGGGGGGAGTAGGGAGAACAAATGGTTGGTTAAATTTATCACTTTCAATGGCTGTATGAAACTTAGCAATTCTACAATATTCCTGTTCTGAAAGATAGAGCATATACTACAATATTTCCTCATTTGGTCCTAGCTAGTGATGTCCCGAACGGTTCGCCGCGGACTCATCGAGTAAACTTTGACCCCGTACCTCACAGTCAGCAGACACATTCCAGCCAATCAGCAGCAGACCCTCCCTTCCAGAACCTCCCACCTCCTGGACAGCATCCATTTTGAAGCTGCATTCTTAGTGAGCTGTCCAGGGGGTGGGAGGGAGGGTCTGCTGCTGATGGTACAGGGTCAAAGTTTACTCGATGAGTCCACGGCGAACCGTTTGGGACATCACTAGTCCTAGCTAAAAATCTGTTATTTTATTATTTCTTTTTTTGTTGTTGTTAACAATACAAGAAATAGTTTAGACTTTCCTGGTTCTGTAGTTCTAGGCTTCATTTTTTAATGATGATGCCTTCTCCTCCGCTATGCCTGAATGTTAACACGATCATCAATTACCAACTTCAGAGTTCACCGAGATTAAACGAGAAATTATTAAAAATGAAGTTAGACAATTACAGATAATATGCAAGTCTGAAAAAAAAACTTATATTTACCAAAAATGCCATCACATGATATATTTTTCTCTTGGTGGTACAGAAATGCTTTAGTAAATGCTATATAAATTAGGTTTTGAATAAGAAAACCTGTCAGATTATCACTTTGTGACATGGATAGCAAAATTATTGGTAGGGGTATCTTTTTATTTATTTATTTTTGTTTATTTTATTTTTTTATTTAAACTATAATTTTGATGAACTAATATGTCAGTTTTAAAGAATAATTATGATGCAAACATTTTTACTTTTAGGGATCGTAAGAAGAAGAAGTTTGTTGGAACAGGTGGACAGAGTGATAAGAAGAAAATCAAGACTGAGAGTGGTCGGCTCATCAGCAGCTCATATAAGAAAAATATGTATCCTTTAAGTCACTCACATTTTGAAAACTTATAGTATTACATGGTGATCTGTATACTCGAGTACTTTTCATTGTATTGCTAGAAGTGGCCTTGAATAGATAGCATATGTTTGAGAGCCAGACCTGTAAGCCGTGTGACATGTTACTACCCTGGTACACAGCAAAAGTGTATTCATTCCACCTGGTAAGAGATCAATCTAGATTATCTCTCCCTGAATAACTTGTATTCCCATAAACATGTCACAGTTGTAGTTCTGTATGCAGGTTTTGGTCCTAGGTTTAGAGTCTGGAGCACTAATTATTCTTTAAATTTAAACTAGCTTTCTTTTAAAGTGAGTTTGTCAAGTTAAAGATCCCCTTACCATGTAACATTTCACATCTCCCAATGCAGTACATATATAATTTATCATAGTGATAAATGAAATAACCGCTCCTGAAGCATATAAATATACCGTGTACATAATGTACATATTTGCTGCCTATTTCTTAATCTCTGCCATTTTCAAAGGTCAGTGATTATTGAACACTCACCCTCCACTGCCACCACCTCTTTGTTTCAACTGGCATTGTTGACGTGATGGCTTTATTGGCAGCACATCAGCATCCGTGCTTCCTATACTCCCTCTGGAACTGTGATAAGCACAGAGAGCAGGAGAACCACCTGTTTAGCCCACTCATCCTGTCACCCAGTCCTCGCCTTGGACCAGCATGACCCCTTCATACAAATTTAAAGGGACACTATAGTCCCCTGAACAACTACAGCTTAATGTAGTTGTTCAGGTGAGATCTATAGCTCCCTGCAAGCAATCTAATGTAAACACTGTATTTTCAAAGAAAATACAGTGTTTACATTGATTGATAGGAATACCTCCAGTGACCGTCACTCAGACGGCCACCAGAGGGACTTCCTATCATGTAGGGCCCTAAAAAGGCCTTGTACACGTCAGACGTATTAAAATACGTCTGACGTGTGCAGGAGAGAGAAGACACTGTGTGCGCGCCTTCTCTCTCCTGCCTGTTAGCAGAGAAGAGGTGGTGGGCAAAGACCGCGAGCTGAGCGGTCAGTCAGCTCAGCTCGCCACCGCGCACATGCGCGGTAGTGCACTCAGGACTTCAGAGGCAGCATGAATGGAAGCGTCTGATTGCTCCCTGCTCGCGCACGCCTATTTCGTCATTTTGACGAAATAGGGGGCGCGGCTTCATGAGGCTCCCGGCGCTGCAACTAGGTGAGTAAAATCTTCTGCTTGTAGAGTCCCTTTAATGCTGAGAATTGATTGACAGGTGTGGGAGAGGCCAAACCTTTATAAAGCATTAAATACAAATCTGTATACTTGCTAGCCTTTTAGCACAATATGTTGATGAAATGTGGCGGTCTTGAAAGTTAGTCGAAGAGGTGTGTACTGTGATGTACTCTTTAAGTATTAATAATCTAAAGTTTAAAGAAAGAGAGTGTTAAAGATGACCTTGCTAGCAGACGTTTTGTAGGAGATGGGCATGCTTTGGTCTCTAGAGCTCCTTGCTCACAGTGTCCGTTTCCAGTTTTTACCTTACATCACTGTCTATAGTTACGAGGATTGGAAGAAGAAATATAAAATTGATGATCAGGATTCTGAAGATGATGAAAAACAGGCTGGTGTGACCCACAGAAAGGGAAGAGGTAAACAAGGAAACTGCTTGATTTTGTTCACATATTTCAGAATATTGTTACTACATTCACATTGCATTTTAACTTGGGGAGAATATATTTTTAAAAAGATATTCTTACCTATAAAGAAGGGCACAGTTTGGCTAGTAATTTGTAAAACACATAGAAAAAAAATTTCCTACGATGCAAAAGTTTCCACCCTAAAATACTTGCTTTTTGCCAAACATCCAATAAATTCAAGGGATTAGATTAGTCTTGGATGAAACATAAGTGATCATTGTGTTATTTGAGATGTCTCAAATTCTAAGAGACAGTACCCAGATGACTTTCTAAATAAAGAAAAAGAACTATGAAATATGCAAAGGAATAGCCTAACTGTGTTTAACCCCTTAAGGACAGAGGACGGTTTAGGACCGTCATTGGCATTTTTGCATTGCCGACCGGTGACGGTCCTGAACCGTCCTAATGGTCTTATGTACTTACCCGATCGCCGTCATTCCCCCGGCGGTGATCTGCGTTGCTCCCGTTGTGGGGAGACTGCCTGCAGCCCAGACAGTCTCCCCATGGCGGATTAGGACCCCTGTGGCCATGTGATCGCTCAACACAGCGATCACATGGTCACAATAGGTGTCCATGTGTCTGCCTGCAGGGGGACTGCCTATGCTGACAGGCAGTCTCCCTGCTAGTGTAAAATCATGAAAAAAAAAATAAAAGTTAATGTTAATTAAAAAAAATTATATATGTGTCTATAAATATGATATATAGACATTTATTATATCTATATAATATATGTCTATATATCATATAATGTCATACTAATTGTTTTATATTAATATGTACATATATTAATATAAAAATACACTTATAATTAAATTACACACGTGTGTGTGTGTGTGTGTGTGTGTGTATATATATATATATATAAAATAACTATATATATTGTGTATATATTATTATAAAATACAAATAATAAGTAATTTAAATTAAATGTAAAAATAAAATTTAAAAAAATTATCTGTGAAATTTTATTCTAACTGTATTTTGATATTAATATATATATTTATATCAAAATACACTTAGAATGAAATTGTATATATCTATGTATATATAAATAAATAAAAATAATACGAAATATACATATGTCCATATACAAAATTATATAAATATACACGTAGACTTCAAATATATAAATATGCTTATATATTTAAATTCTACATGCGTATTTATGTAATATTTTTACATAATTAAGTAATTTTATTGATTGCAATTTGAGGGACCTGCCTGCCAACCCAGGCCGAAATTCCAGAGAATTTAATTTGCTAGCACTGTATTTTACCCTGTAACGTTCTACGACACCCTAAAACCTGTACATGGGGGGTACTGTTTTACTCGGGAGACTTCGCTGAACACAAATATTAGTGATTCAAAACAGTAAAACATATCACAGCGATGATATTGTCAGTGAAAGTGACTTTTTTTGCAATTTTCACACACAAACAGCACTTTTACTGATGATATAATTGTTGTGATACGTTTTCCAGTTTTTAAACACTAATATTTGTGTTCAGCGATGTCTCCCGAGTAAAACAGTACCCCCCATGTACAGGTTTTATAGCATTTTTGAAAGTTACAAGGTCAAATATATGGGTCAAATATTTTTACATTGAAAATGGCCAGGTTGGTTACGTTGCCTTTGAGAGCGTATGGTAGCCCAGGAATGAGAATTACCCCCATGATGGCATACCATTTGCAAAAGAAGACAACCCAAGGTATTGCAAATGGGGTATGTCCAGTCTTTTTTAGTAACCACTTGGTCACAAACACTGGCCAAAATTAGCGTTCAATTTAGTTTTTTTACTTTTTTCACACACAAACAAATATGAATGCTTACTTTGGCCAGTGTTTTCGACTAAGTGGCTACTAAAAAAGACTGGACATACCCCATATTGAATACCCTGGGTTGTCTACTTTAAAAAAAATATGTACATGTGGGGTGTTATTCAGAGATTTATGACAGATAATAGTGTTACAATGTCACTATTGATAAATTTTAAAAATGTATGTTTTGAAACCGCAATATCCTACTTGTACTTATAGCCCTATAACATGCAAAAAAATAGCAAAAAACAATGTAAACACTGGGTATTTTTAAACTCAGGACAAAATTTTTAATCTATCTAGCATTTTTTTTCATTCGCTTTTGTAGATGAGTAAACGATTTTTTTTAATTAAAAGTCAAAAAACATGTATTTTTTAAAAAAAAATTCATCATATTTTTTCATTTGTTTAAAATTAAAGTACATGAGATTATATAAATAATGGTATGTAAAGAAAGCCCCTTTTTGTCCTGAAAAAAAAAAATATAATTTGTATGGGAACAGTAAATGAGAGAGCGGAAAATTACAGCTAAACACAAACACCACAAAAGTGTAAAAAGATGCCTGGTCGCAAATGTACAACATCGCAAAAACAGTCCAGTCCTTAAGGGGTTAAACATAGACCGAAAAATTGACCTAGTGACCGAGTTTAATACTGCAACTAAGGAATATTGCGCACTGGCATTTGTTAAAAAGAAAACAAACAAACAACCTCTGTACAAGGAGTTGAATAATATAAATATTCCCTCATTGATATCTTTTAAAGGAGTTTAAAAAAAAAAAAAAAATCACAGCAATTGGGGAGCACTTTGGTACTAGAAGAATTAAAATTAAATTTATTTTTTAAATGGTGAAGCCAATAGTGGCATTTTCATGTTTAAAGGAAAACACTAAACATATGAAACACTTTAGCTTGCTTTTTCCTGAGAGCTCTAGTTGTCGTAAAAAAGGATGTATTGGAGTCACGTTGATAATTAGTGGAGCCTAAAGCAAAGTTCTGTTTCAATTACCAGTCAAATTTACCCATAATCCATAAGTAAAAATCATCCCACAAAAGACCAAACATCAGAAATGATGGGCAGATTAAAGCAAAATGGCTGGACCCAGGTATTTCGATCCAGTACAATGCAGAAAAGATACTAAATATAAATGGTCAAATGACAAGGGAGTGGTACACTTGGTAAGATTCAAGAAGCTTAAATAAAGAAAAAAAAAAAGTAATAGATCCACTTTAAATTGTAGAAATTGTGATTCTATAATTAGAAGATCTGGTTTTATACACCTTCACATCACCCATGTGGCTGGATTTATAGGTGTGGAACTGCACAAAACAAGGGAAAGGACCAGTCAACATAACTCAATTTTGTTATGTTGGATTTATCAGTCCCAACAAGTTTTGCATAGGCGTGGTATCCTACAAGTCAACTCAGATTTTAAAGGACTACTCTAGGCACCCAGACCACTTCAGCTTAATCCCTTAATCCCTCTAGGATTAACCCTTTTTTTTTTTATAAACATAGTTTCAGAGAAACTGCTATGTTTATAATAGGGTTAATCCAGCCTCTAAAGCCTCTAGTGGCTGTCTCATTGACAGCCGCTAGAGGCGTTTGCGTGCTTCTCACTGTGAAAATCACAGTGAGAAGACGCCAGCGTCCATAGGAAAGCATTATGAATGCTACTGCCGCGCATGTGCTTTCAGCCGGAGAGGAGGAGGAGAGCTCCACGCCCGGCGCTGGAAAAAAGGTAAGATTTAACCCTTTCCTCGCCATCCATCCTGGCACTATAGTGGTCCTTTAAGTGAATAATTCTGTAACAACATGTAGGAGAAGAAACGTAAAGGCTAATGACTCAAAAGGGTTTTATTTACCCTTTAACCAGTGCCAAAACGCATTCATTATGGCTTCATGGAGGCTGTTTCTTTTTGTCTTCTCGTCTAATCCAGTGCTTCTTATAGAGAAGTATCGAGGATGAGAAGCACATGCTCGGCAAGCACTGTGTTTATCCAGTCAAATGCTTCTCATAGAGAAACAGTAATTTGTTTTGGAGACCTACAGTTGACTAAAAATATAGGCATAATGTCAAATGGGCTTATTTTTTCATGACTGGAGAATATGGGTTCCTGTGCTTTTTAAGTAATTATTTTTTGCATTTATGTTGTACACTGGAGATGGAAACTTGGAAGCATTGTGGGTGTTAAATCAGAGTTTGAGAGGTGTTAGAAGAAAACATCACTCTGTCCTGTTAAGATGCAAAAAGACTGGTGATACCTTGTGTTTCCTCTTTAGTAAACAAGAAATTCATTATCAGGGATCACTGTATATAGACCAGGGTTTTCGCTTCAAAGCAAAGGTGCTAAATTCAGTCCTATCTGAGCCACATTCCTCATTGCTTGGATTCTCTAAATTAGCATATTAAACCTTGTTAAAATTGTTTTTCATATTCTAAAATCCTTAGTGTATTTTGTGGTCTTCAAGGCAACAGTGTTCTGCATCTTGTGGTAAAGATTTGGCTTTCGAAATTTTAAATTTATCGCATCATTGGGTCAGAAGAGCTGTAGTAGAATTGTTAAAACTAGATTTTACATTCTTGGTAGCAAATAAAATATGACAAAGAACAATAATAGTTTTAAAACATTTTGTCTTACATTGTCAACACTCTTTTTCAAGGTGGACACAGTAAATCTCGAGGAGGACCTCGTAATGAAACCCCTGGACCTCATGGAAAGCCTCGTTCTGAGTTGCGCAGCAAACAACAAATTCTTAAACAGAGAAAGATCCAGGAAAAGCAGCGGTTCCTGCAGAAGGGTGGGATGAAGCAACTCAAGAAGAGAACAAAGCAGGGTGTTCATGATATGAAGAGAACTGCATTTGGCAGGGGAAAGAGCAGCGGGTTTAAGAAAGGAAAGATGAGGAAAAAGATGTAATGGTGTAGAATGTGCAAATGAAATCACATTGTTGGCAAAACCCAGCATGCATCCCATTTTTGAATGGGTAATTTAACAGTATTGGGAGAGGCACCTCAACCATATTTTATTTTACGTTAATGAACACCCTATCTAAATGGTGTATCACAGCCATGCCCTTCAGTATAAAAAGCAAAGCTGAAGCTTACAGAAGGCTGTTAGTGTGATTTAACCCTTTACTGACCAGATGGACCTGTTTATTTTTGTGAAATTGGTATCAACCCTGTAAGACATTACGAACAACACAGGCAAACGCGTCAGCTATGTATCACCAGTGGCATCCTTGGATACATAAAATGCATACATGAAGATCTTTAACCCCCAAGGCCGTGGACTCTAGATAATGTATATTAATGTTATTAAATACAATGTTCGCTATCTTGTTTTTCTTTGTTTATTATCTAATGAATCAAAAATATTTGTAAAACAATATTTTTGATTTTTTTTTTTTCTTTCTTTTTCAAAGAAATTATACCATTGAGACAAATTTATTGGGTTGCGGTCATATAAGCACATGTCTGTGTGAGACATGAGCTCTCACCCAAACCAATAAACCAAACCAAACATTATTTCTGCAACAGAGATAAGGTGATGATGGACTAAGAAATGTAGTTATAAAAAAATGGAGATGTTGGCCAGGCAATTAATGAACAAATAGCCCAACCCATATTGTGTCACTTACCGTGGTTATTGGCCTCTTCTCTGTCTTTAGGAATGTGGTATTCAGGCAGACTTGATACAGCAAGTATATCCATTGGCAGCACTCTTTTATTACATGCAAAGATTGAACTATAAACTAAATGTGACCTAGAAGACAGCCGTAAAGTAAGCAACTGAAAGAACAGAAAACCAGGTATCTATACTAGTTGGAAATCTAAACTACTGATTTACTTACCTGAGATTTAATTTAAAAAAATTAATAAATACAGTCTTAAAGACAGATAGACTGCTGCAGACCTATTTCAACAGAAAATTGTGATTTGTACAACTGACAGCTTAAACTGCCAGGGGTAGGCACTCCAGATATTGTGGACTACATCTACCCTGATACTTTGCCAGTATTATGGTAGTACACAATATCTGGAGTGCTTAGCCCTGCCATTTGCCATTTTTCATCAGCTCTGGGGGAAAACTAATTCCAGACCCCGCATATTGTGCGATACATAAAAATGTTACACCCAAGCAGCATGCCTCAGAATTGTCCTGCTTTCTGCAGGACAGTCCTGATTTTAACGTGCTGTTACACTATCCTGCTTTAGTTTCTTGGTGTCCCGCATCTGGGGACACCAGGAAACTGTCCCCTGGCAGCACAGCAGATAATTAGACGCAATAACCCTGTGCAGCAGGCACTAAAACCATGCAGGGAGCATTTCAGCAGCACTCCCTGCATGTTCTTGCTAGCAACGGCCAAGCCACTCGGAAACTTTTGGGCTGACCTGCCCTCCCCTCGGTACGTGAGTGCTGTTTACCGAGTGTTCATAGAATCCAAGGCTGAGCCTTGGATTGGCAGTATGTATCCTTGTCATCTACTCTGGGAGAGAATTAGATCAGCCCCCCGGTCACAAAAGGGGGTACCCAGAAAGGAAACTCTTACATATGTGCTGTTTGCTGGGTCTCCAAGGATTAGAGACTGAACTCTGGTGGTCCTACAAAAATATTGGCCTCCTGGGCATAAAATAAATTTCTAAACCTGGTAGAGCAGACCAAACTGCTGTGAAGGACAAGAAAAAAAAGACTGCCTGATGGGAAGTAGGTGGATCCATTTAGACCAATTTCACAGTGCTAGTTCCTGTCCTTCCTGCTGTGAGGGGAGGAGCTAACCAATATGTTAATACTGCCATGTATAATGATCAGGAAATCTTAGTTTCAAGCATCTAAAATGGAGTAGGAAGGGGTCACCATTTGCCTTGAAAGGTTTCAGTCCTAAGCATGCTAATGTTGGCAGCATTTCATCTTTGGTATTTAGTTTTGTTTTTAACATTCAATATTTTTCTGTCATATGGTGGCAGTACATGTGGGTTTTGCTCCTTTCCTGTGGACAAGCATCTAACGAGATTAATTAAATCAACAAACCCCTCCTCCTTGCCCTATATAAGGGCTATCCGGCAAAACCTACCCCAGTTTTCTTTCTTGTCCCGAGAGGGAAGGACACAGCATCTAGATGGTGAGACACACAGGCTGCTGGTCTGGGGGATCCGGTCCGAGAGCTGCCCGGGTGGAAGGCTGAGAGACCATGCTTCCGACCGGTAGGTTACAGAGCAAGTGGAGATGTGATTCCTTTTATGCCGAGAAGGGTTCCGGCAATACTTCCTGGAGGGGGAGTTTATCCGGCACACAGCGGTGGAACGCACGCCCAGGTGGTGCTGCGTCCCACCTAAAAAAAAATAAAGCTTAAATCTAAGCTGTGCAGGTACCCACTGACAGCAGGGATGCTTGTCAGAAGAGGTACTCCATGTCACCAACCCCCACACAGCTCAGAGGTATTTTAAGGTAAGATTTTTACTTTAAAATTATCTCTGTAAAGTTTATACACGTAAGTTACAAGATGAAGACTACGAAGAAAGAAGGTTATGTGCAAGTTGCTGTGAGTAGCATATGTACCCTCTATATGCTCTATGACAAGTGACTGTGAGCAGTATATGTACCCTCTATATACTATGACGAGTTGCTGTGAGGACTCAACTTCTATATATATATATATATATATATATATATATATATATCCACTATATGCTCTATGTATGAGTTACTGTGAGCTAGGACAAGTTGCTGCGAGCAGTATATGTATCCGCTATAGGCTCTATGATGAATTGCTGTGAGGTCTCAGCTTCTAGATATATATCCACTATATGCTCTATGTATGAGTTACTAGGAGGGCTCAACCTATGTAGGAGTTCTTATGAGGACAGCCTCTGTATATGTATCCTCTATATGCTCTACGACGAGTTGATGTGAGCTTTGTATGAGTTACTATGAGGATTCAACCTCAGTATAGGCTCTATGTGAAAACTCAGCCATCAGTATATGTATCCACTAGAGGCTCTATGTATGAGTTATTATGAGGTCTCTGCCTCTCTATATGTATCTACTATATGCTCTTAGACGCGTTGATGTGGGGACTCAGCTTCAGTATATGCATCCACTTTATGCGCTATGTATAGTTACTATATAGACTCAGTCTCAGTCTATATACCCACTATATGCTCTATGTATGAGTTTTTAAGAGGACACAACCTCTGTAGATGTATCCACTATATACTCTAGGTTGAGTTTGTGAGATTTTCAGTATATGTTCCCACCATAGGCGCTATGTATGAGTTACTATGTCGACTCAGCCTGAATATACTTACCCATTATAGTCTCTATGTATGAGTTATTAGAAGGACACTGCCTCTTCCTATGTAGCCACTTTATGCTACATGATATATGCTCCATATATGTGTTTCTATGAGGGTTCGGTTTCAGTATATGTGATTTCTATATAATCGGTAATTCTATCCTCCTATATGCTCTATGTATGAGTTTCTGTGAAGACAGAGCCTCCTTATAGATATTCTCTAGATGCTCTAGGGATGTGTTCTAGGAGGTTACTACCTCAGTCTATATATCCTCTATTTGCTCTATACATTAGCCACCTCTATATATGTATCCACATGTTGGGTTATTTCTAGGAATCCTATCGACAGCTTTACTTGCGGGAGCTGCGGTAACCAGAGCTATTTTTTTTTCTTCTCTCCTGGTTGCTCAACGCAATACTGCACATGATTCCTGGAGATCAGGATTAACCTATGCTCCATTAGTGCCTGAATTGGCAATTGTCAAAGAATTATTCATTTGTTTTCTCTTTTTAGGTCTATGTTTGGTAACTTTATGGTTGCAATCATAGACGGCTGATACTGCACCTAAAACTGAGATAAATTTGGGATCAGAACAGAGGTAGACATGTCTGACACCATCAATTCTACCAGGAATCCAGGGATCCTTATTCCCTTTCAAGGAGTTCCTTAGTCTCCTGTTTCAGTCCAACAGGTTGTTGGTTTTCTTTTTCCAAACATAGAGTAAGGGAGTTGGTAGAAGCAGATCCAGATTTGAAAGATATTGTTCCATCAGAGCTTAGTCCTTTAGTGGACTCTAAATGGGAGATTCTATCAGCCTAGTCGGGAAAGGTAGAGGCTCTAGATGGGTGTTTTTTTTCAATTATTCCCATCGTGTAACAGCTCTACTTTCTTGGTGTAAATCCTCAGAGTTCCTTTTAGGAGGCATGTTTCTTGCGTCTGAAGTTCACTACAGATGCTGTTGAAACTGTTTGGTGAGCTTATCTAGTTTCCATCATACTTCGAGGTTTAGGTTAAGGGAAAATCCGCAGTTTCTGAGTTTTCAGCCGTGCTTTCCGCCTTCACCCCTCCAGTCAGTGGATGCAGCGGAAGGCCATATAGATTCAAATGGACTCGTGCACAATGGGTTTATACATCAACCGGCAAGGAGGAATCAGAGTAGGCGCTCTTTGTCGCCTGTAGGCGCTTATCTTGCTGTGGTGCGAAAATATCTAGTAGATATTTTGGCAGTTTTCTTTTCAGAAGGATCGACAATTACATAGTCGTCAAGCTCGGCAGGGATAATTGGAATCGGAGAGTTTGGTCCTGAGGTCCATGTGTTGTTTTATGTTCTGGAGAGGAACTTCGATTTTCCAGACTTGACCCTCAGGGCAAGCATTACAGAAGCCAGGTTCCCCAAGTTACCTCCCTGTTCAGAGCAGGTCCCTTCGATGAATAGAGATACTCTCATTGAAATGTAATGTCAGGCTGGCATATGTCTTTCTTCCGCTGACACTATTTCCAAGGGTTCTTTGGAAATTAGGGCAGTCGGAACTTTATCCTGGTTCTTATTCTACTCTAGGCCAAACAAGGTTCTTGTTCCAGACATTCAAGAAGATGGCCTCCACACAGTGGGAACTCACAATCTTATAATAAACAGGAATCTAACCTAGGGTTCTGTAGCCAGGTTTACGGCCTGGCTACTGCTGTGTTAAACTAGACTTCCTGCTTTTTCGGTCTACTTTCATATAAAGGTCAAGTTTCTTTTTTGATAGTGGGAACACCATTGCCCACATGTTCATCCGTCTCTAAGACCCATGTTTCAAATTTTTATGGAAGTTTTTTTCTGCAGACCTGGGTCTTTCTGCTTTGAAGTTCAAGCCTCAGTCTTAAGACTCACTGAGAAAGATTTTGCATCCATTTGTTAATCTATAGGTTTGTTGTAATCTGTCAGGCCCAGACATTCTCCTAGAGATCTGTTTTTTTCCCGCCTAGGGTTTATCCTTGATTTTTCCAGCTCTTTGTGTCCCTCTTTCGATCTTTTGGAAGAGGTGTCCCTTATAGGTTTTGTTCCTCTAGGTCACCTTCTTGGTGGCCGTCAGACCGGCTAAAAGATTCAGTGAACTTCAGGCATTTTCTTCCCCAGATGATTTTTGCAGTATTGCTATGGACAGGGTGGTTCTTCACCTTAAGAAACTTCATTTTTTTCCTACAAGTCAACCGATTGTGTCTGCTTTCCCTTGGGTGGTTGTCCCACCTATCTTTGGGAGCTTAAAGAGTTTTTTGTTCTTAGGACTGAGGAGCTCAGGTATTCTGGCCTGCTATTTGTTAACCTCCAGTGTAGATTCCAGGGGTACGGAGCTTCCTGCAAAAAAACTTTGGTTTAAATTGACTCAGACGAGCAAGTAGATTGGCATATTTTTCCAGTGGTCCTTAAGTGCCGATATCTCTCACCGCTCTTTTCACTCAGGGTATTGGCTGCCCCTGGGGGGGGGTAGAGCTCTTGTTTCTCCAGTAGATGTCTGTAAGGCAGCATCTTGGGCTGCCTTTCCACATCTTTGTTATTCTCTACAGGCTAGAGATATTCTCATCCTCGTAAACGGCCTTTGGGCATAAAGTTTGTGAGCTGTGCTAGCATTGGACCCACCCCGTTGGGGTATCTTGCTATATCCTACATGTACTGCCACCATATGATAGAAAAAACAGAAATTTCACTTACCGTAAATTCTTTTTTTCTTAACATGGTGGCAGTACAATCTCTCTCTCTCTCTCTCTCTCTCTCTCTCTATATATATATATATGTATATATATATATATATATATATATATATAATATATATAAAAATAGTAACAAATCTTGCACTCCACTCAAACAACTAGTATCACGCCCGGTGCTTGTCCAGACAAAAACACAAAAAAATATTGGGATAGCACTCCAAGGATTTAATATAAAATGCAACTTTTATTACCTTCTAAATAAAAATGGTCAACGTTTCAGCTTGATCCCCTCAAGCTTTCCTCAGGACATTACATTTTTTATAGTCCTTGGAGTGCTATCATTCAATATTTTTTTATATATATATATATATATATATATATATATAAAGAATTTTAGGTTAAGTTTTATGTTTCTTCTTGCTACTTACTGGGGTAGGTTTTGCCGGATATAGGGCAAGGGGGAGGGGTTTGTTGATTTAATCAATCTGGTTAGATGCTTGTCCACAGGAAAGGAGCAAAACCCACATGTACTGCCACCATATTAAGAAAAAAAGAATTTACGGTAAGTAAAATTTCTGTTTTCTTTTGAAGTGTCGGTGTAATCCTGTTGGTGAGCTTCAACTTGTAACCACTGTTGCAAGTTGAATTATGTCCATGATTAGCACATCAGTCTCAAGACTGCATTCTGGAAACATTTAATACTCATGATGGTTTTGTCAATAACGCACCTGCAATTAAGATCCCTATTTGCAAGATATTTTCCTTTGAGACTTCACATATCAAAGGGACAATTCTCTTGACAATTCATTATAACTGTCAATCAAATTAACATCTGTGTAATTTAGGATTGATAATGGGGATGTTACAGGAACACTTTAGTGTTAGGAATATGAAGATGTATTCAAAGCTTTCTGCATTGAATTTCTCATTTAATTCAGGTACCAGGTGATGTGGGATAAGGGAATACCTACAAAGAGCATACTTAAATATATAATATTTAGATTTTTTTAAAATTAATATTAAAAGGAATCCCTAAATTATCTAGACAACATTGAGAACTCAAATGTACAAACAAACAAAAATGTTCTGACTTGTGGACACAAAAATCACAAATTCTTAGGAGTGGTTTCCCTTTACAAGGGAGGAGAGTTCCGCACTATTTAAATAGTCCAAAAACATGTTTTTCCAAGTGTCCATTAGTTGGTTGTAGGTATTGCAGAGGATGGAGACAATTGGTCAGTCTTTTTCAAATCTTTATATATGGCTTCAAGATCCATAAAGCAAATCTTAACCTGTGGGAGCAACAATATGACATTAGAAGATATCAAGAATATAAATATAAATTGGCTTGAAAGAAATACAGGAGTCCTCTGCTCTTTGCCTGGCAGTCTCATCTTGTCTATACAGCAGCAGTAGTATCTTCTGTTTTTTGCAAATCAATTTAATCAAGTTTGCCTGCCCCTGGTTTTATAGTGACATGTTAAAAGTTTTCTAATACTGTGTATTGAACACGCTATCTATACAGTGAACTCTTAGTATGTATCATAAGAAATGTAGCTGCTTTGAAACCGAGCTTTAAAAAAAAAAAAAAGTTTCTGCGCCAACTGAAAAAAAAAAAAAAAAATCAGTCATTATGGATCAGAGGTGCCCAATAGGTAGATCATTGATGTTGCAGAAACTGTTCTTGTTATATTAATCATCTGTTCCTTAGCAGGTCTTAAAATTAGGCAAATACATAGATGAACAATCAAAAAAAAAAGTCAAAAAGTCAAAATGGAGACGCCATGTGTGAAAAACTAAGTACACCTTGTGATTGGAGAACCACCTTTAGCAGCAGTAACTTGAAGTAATTTTTTTATCAGTCTCTCACATCATTGTGGAGGAATTATGGGCCACTTTTCTTTACAACATTGCTTCAGTTCATTAAGGTTTGCTGGTATTTTGTCCAAATGACCTAAACCTTTTTTTTTTTTTTTTTTAAAGAGAGGAGTCTTTCTCTTGGCAACCCTTCCAAATAAACCATACCTGTACAGTCTTTTTCTAATAGTACTGTCATGAATTATAACATAAATGAATTATAACATGCTAACTTAGGCTTGTAGAGTCTTAGAACAGGGCCGTCTTTTTCCATGGGTACGCTGGGCAGTTTCCCGGGGGCTACATAGGCATAGAGGACCCGCCGCACTGCCCAGCCGACAGGGGAGATCCTTTGATCGCCCCTGCCGGCCAGTGGAGAGGCGGCCTTGTTTTCTGGCCATGTGTCCCCTCGGGCCGGTGAGGAGATCAGAAATCTCTCTCGCCAGCCCAGGCACCCTTCGATTGAGGAGAGAAGGAGTTAGGACCCAGGGCTTCAGGAGAGGCCAAGCCGTAAGGCAGATCGCTCCTCCAACCAGAAGGCTGTGTGAAGTGTTGCCGCAGTCTGTGTGCATTTAGCAGTCTGCATGTATTCAGCAGTCTCTTTATGTGTAATTAGCAGTGTGTGTGTGTGCATTTAGCAGTCTTTGTGTGTATTTAGCAGTGTGTGTGTGTGTGTGCGTGCGCACGCGTGTTTGTATTCAGCACTCTCTATGTGTGCTCAGCAGTCTGTCTAAGTGTGTGTATCCAGCAATCGGTGTGTGAATGTATTCAGCAGTCTCTGTGTATGAATTGTATGTATGTATGTATTGCATTTGTTGGAGGTACTAATAAATATAAGCTTAGTTGTATCTATAATTTACGTTTTTATTCCTGTGAGTTGTTGTGTAGGCAGGGCTCCAGTGCACTGCTTTGCCCAGGGGCCCATAATGTTGTTAAGATGACACTTAGATGTAACTCTTGGATTTTTTGCAATTTTTCTGAGAATTGCATGGTTTGACCTTGGGGTGAATTTGGTGGGATGTCCACTCCTGGATGATTTGCAGCTGTCTTGAATTTTCTCCACTTTTGAATAATCTTTCTCACTGTAGACTGATGGACTTTAAGTTGTTTGAAATTGCCTTATAACCATTACCAGTTTAATAGGCAGCAACAATTGCTTCTCTAACATCAATGCTGATGTCTTTCCTCCTTGGCATTATTTTAACATACACCGATGCTCTAGATGATCAATCAAGCATATGATAAGCAGCACTTGTCTGCTACATAGCCTCATAATTCTTATGGAAGCAGTAAGAGTGTACTTAATTTTTCACACATGGCTTCTTCATTTTGGTTTTATTTTTGTTAAATAAAACAGCGGCGCCCCTGCCCAGCAGCACTCAACGCCTTATGAAAGTGGAATTTCAGAAGCCGGATGCCGTGCTGGAGGCAACTTAAGGGTTAAACAGTTCTCGAACAGTTAAATCCCTTGAGGTAAGCATGCCCCACCCAACCCCTCCTGAGTCTCCTAGCATCATACCAACTTCATTTAGATTAAGTTGTTTTGGTGTCTAGAATGTCCTTTTAAGCAGCCTGTCAACATCGATTTTGGAATTTCTAAATAAATATGATCCACTTACTTTTTCAAGCTGTTCCTCCGTATCCTCCAGTGAAATATCAGTTTTAATGTGCATGTGTTTGGTGATGATATGGAAAAGATTCAGTGTTGCCATTCTGATGCGCCCCAGCCGCAGTGTATTCTCCGCAGCAGTGTTCTGTATTTGTGCCCAACGTGACTCCTGATAACCCAAAACATAAATGCATCAGAGTTTAGGGTTTGCTACTTTCACAAGTTCTTCTCTAATTGGTCATTTGAACCAGATTTGATATGCAAGCTTGTTCTTATGTTTGCCCACTTCTCTGCAAAGTGTAAAGCACTGGATATACAGAACTTTAGTATGAAAACTCCTAGCAGTTTTTCTTGGTTCAGCCTTGTTGTTTCCTACTATCACATAACCTTTTGAGTTTCAAAAATGAGCAACACCTAGCGTTACTTGCCTATTCTGGTGCTTTACAGGGATGGAGCAGATACAGAGCCTTGTATACAGAAAACTACAGAATCTTGTAGTTTTTGGCAGGAGAGGCTGCTTCTCTTTTAGTTGGACAACCTCTAAACCTAGATAAAGTCACTTTAGGTCCCCACTTCTCACCCCTGGCTCAGCAAGGGGTTATCCCACCAAAATCTTATTAATCTTTTCTATCCACTTGTGCTGACAGATTACATGCAGACTGCAGGTGCTGACAAAGATGGAACATGCCTTTTGTACCTAGTCCTTATCCTACACCCAGTCCTCTGAACTAGATAAGTTGGACGAGTTATGTATCAATTTCTGGGCTAAATGATCAACTCCTAAGTCTGCTACTGCATCAAGATGCAATTCGAACCAATACATAGGCTGCTAAGGAGAGGTTTGAGCCATTCCAGCCTTCATTTTCTGAAAAATTGACAGGCCATAAAAGATCTTGAACCAGCTTTCTTTAGGCCGCCACCGCCAGTAAGAAAGATGTTAACCCTTTGGATGGATAGTGCATTTACCTATGGCATAGCTCCTTTTCATGAGACTCCTATGCCTATAGCTGTGCTTTCTCTGTTCTAAATGGCACATGGAGGCACCATATCGTCGTCTATCATTTCAGACAATTCTTCATTATTTCAATCTTCTTATGTGCACAACAATAATGCTTCCTGCCAATGATTATTTGCAGACTATCTTTGCAAGTATAATGAGTGTCATCTAAAATGGTAATTTGCCTTGGCTGGTGCAACAAGCATCATCTTCTGTTTTTCAACCGGCTGTGATTATGCTTATTTAGATTTTTGCTTAACACTTTTGTCATTCCTTTCTCTGTGCTAGCAACTCTCACTTCTGTATTTGTTATGTGTCTTTAAACATGCAATAAGTTAAGTGTATGCATTGTCCTCTTATTCATTGCTCTATGTTTGTGACGGGCATGTACTGTCAGGGAAACAAAACATTGTAAAAAGCTACACATACAGACGAGTCATTTCTAGCCTCGTGTTAAATAGAATGTATAAGGAATCAATCATACCCACTGAAGAACCTCCGCTCTTGCTTTCTCCAGACTTCCCTGCAAATCTGCCAGCTGATTATTCTGCTCCAGGATCTGGCTGCGGGTCTCCTCCTGGTAGTGTAGCAGCTGAGCTTTCTCCTTCTCAATCTTCTCCTGGTTCTTCACCTCTCGTTGCAAGAGCTTTTCTTGGGTCACCATCAGTGTGTTGAACCGGTCTATCATTTCCTGCACTTCTTGGAACTGGAGACAAAGGATACAATCTTATGTCATAGTAGCACATAATCTAAAGAACACCTAAATCACATATCAGTCAGATAGTAACAGACTTTCATAGATGGTGATTTTTTTTATTTTATTCCTACGGCTTCATGGTGTTTAAGACAAAACCAGACATTTCTGATCGCTCACATTTTCCGAACCAAAATTAGAACATGCATTAAACCAACAAAGACGATATAGTATCATGAGTTTCCAATGCTGTGCATTTGTGTGTGTCTGCATTTCCCATGGGTCCCTTTAAACTTGCTGATCCCTTGGTCTGAGCTTCTTTGTATTGCATTGCCTTGTTTCTGTTTTATTCTTCTTGTCATCCTCTATATCGGACTATATATTTCTGTAACCTGACCTTGGACTATTTTTTCTCTGGTCTCTTGATTCTGACTGAGCATGCTGCTACTATACTGAGCTGCTCTTACTATATGTGTATCAGCTGAAGGGTAAAAGTCAAAGGGAAATAATTGGAGGGCGCTATAGCGCCCAACACCTGCTCTCTCCCAGCTAGGTTCTAAACTTCCATACCTCATCAGTCCCCTCCAGTACTCTTTGCAAGTAGCGTTGGTAAATGTTGTTCTTTTCCTGACGGTGCAGTAAAGCATCCTTTCTGCATTTCAGCTGCGCATTCTCAGTCTGCAGTCGCAGGAATTCTCTCTCTTTTTGTATTGCCAGTTGCCGTTCCTCAGCTGCCTTGCGCATTGCACGCTTTCGCTTTGAATCATTCTCCTACATTACAGCAGGAGAACAGACACAACATAAGTAAAGCAAAGTCAGTCTTCAGAATTTCAATCAATACGTGTTGTATAATTTGGGGCAACAGTAAAACAATAAATCTCAGGATATACATGTCCTTACCAAAGCAGACACAATTAACTCAAACGTCAGTGTAAAACAAGTCCTTTGTGAGAAAACACCAACTATTATGGAATTAAATGGTTGATTGTGTGGTCAGTAAGGGTATATAATAATAGCAAAGCCAGTGGCAGAAAGGAAAATGAAGGTATGACACCCATTTTTAGCCTAAATGCCAGTGGGAACAGGGTTGGCAATTCGAGTCCACCCACCATTGTTTAAGCTTAGCCTCCACTCAGTGCCCAAGAGTGGCGGCATGGGGAAGACCAATGTCAGGCCCTCCTATCTAAAATAAAATAAAAAATAAAATAAACTTTAATGTAGCCACTGACAGCCAGCTGCCACATACTTAAAAAGCCTCTGCGGTGTGAGGGCTCTTTTCTTTTTAAACTATTTGCCCACTGGCTGTGGCATATTTAAGCAACCAGACCTGGATTTCAGCTGTTTGAAAGCATTAGAACAATCTGAAATCTTGACACATTTCAAGCTTTTGATGGAGCTCCTGTACTCCGACTGAGTACCTCCACCAGGTGAGCACTTTAGACCCAGTCGAAGTGTTTGACTGGAGTCTCTGATAACCTCTTCCAGGCTGCAGTGATTATACTTAAGAAGACCTTTTCTCCTGTACACGTTGTATAGCTTTTCCCCCACACATTAGACAGAGTCTAAATGTAGGGGTAGAATGGCCTTTATTGTACAGAACACAGCTATTACTACATAGCATTGTTGACACTGTCTGGGGACTTGATTATATTATTCCCAGCTAACACAATTAGATGCCTGCTTTGCCCTCACAGTCCTAGAGGCACACCACACAAAATGTCTGCCAGAACCATCTCTTAGTGGACCGTAGCACCACACAATATAGATCACTGGAAAGCTTGTCACGAAATGCCATTGTTGTCTAAATATCCCACTGATCGAAGAATCCATACCCAAGTTACAGCATGTTAAAGTTTTATTATGTTGGGGCTATTCTCAGATATACGTACATAGAAAAAAAAGGTGGAGTGTAGTTGGTATTCACATATGGTATCACTGCAAAAGACAAAAAGACAAGGCCCAAGCCTAGTGCAATTCAGTAAAATACAGTAAACAGATGAGTAACTCTAGGATATGGTACTCACAAATATGGAGCCTATAAATAAGGCTCACCACAGGTGCAGGTGGGGAAGTTAGAAGGGACCCCACTCCCTTAATGGTGCTGTAGAAGTTTTCTTCTTTACCCAATAAGTTCACTGAATGTGATTTCCAAAAAATGGAAAAAACTTTATTGGTACAAAAAAATTAATTAAAAGCGAGTTAAAGAGTGGTATAATACACAAAAAATTAATTAAAAGCGAGTTCTCGGATATGGTGAGGAGTTCCAATCCTGGGATGGATTTGTCCCGGTCACCAATAAGGTGCTACCGGACCTCTGGGAGGTCGAAGTTGGCGGACTAAGCAATACCCACTTAAAGATTGACTGGACTGTGGCACAATCACAGAGTTTTTCAAGGTATCTCCAGTCAGGTGCTTGATGTGTAAAACAAATCCAAATGATCCCCAGAGGTCCTCAGTTCCTGCTGGAAAGCACAGTAAGCATCCCCATACCCCTCTCCACAGGGACAATAGCCCCTTTTAGAGGCTCTTGGTACCAACCCCATAGACTGTGGGCAGGAGGCTGGCTGACTTTGCAAAATGACTGTATAGAAGTGGATGGTTTTTGCTTCATTCAGATTACAGTGAATAACCCCGATATTCTGCTGCATATTATACCTTTAGGAACTTATCAAATTTGAACAACGAATCTTTGAGCTTCTCTTCTTTGTGCTCCAACTCAGTGCTACGCTGCTGTAGACTCTCTGTCTTCATCTGGAACTCCTTTAATAGAGATATCTTAGTTTACAACACACTTCTTGCACCAAAAACAATTTTCACTTAATATTAAACAGGCACCATACAGCAACAATAATAAAAGCATTTATTTTGGGTGGGTTGAATTAAAAACCATTAATAAGACTCTTGGTTATTCATGAAAGTTCAAATTGCAATAAAAAGACAATTCAGAATGCACAATGTAAGTTAAATCTAGCCAAACTGCAAATATAATTATAATTACTTCTATATCGTCAACATATTCTGCAGTACAACAGGTAAACAATACAAACATTTAATTCTCACAAAACATGTTTGACATATGGGAACAGTAGGCAATGAGGGCCCTTCATAAACGAGCTCACAATTTAAATGAATGAGGGACAAATACAAGAAAGGTGAGGGAATCATTCTGAAGTATTGGTGTGGTGGTGTTTGGGTAGAGGGAGCATAGAAATGGTATTAAGGGATGAGAAGAAGGTTTGAGCTGATAGGCTTCTCTAAAGAAATGCGTTTGAGGAATTTTTTTGGACTGCAGAGACTGGCAGAGTCAAATGTACCAGTGGAGGGCATTCCGTAAGGAGGGCACAACACTGCAGGGGTCCTGCAGTCGAGAATCTAGGTTGCAGTATGGTATAGGAACAGGTCGAGAATTGTGAACGAAATCCTAAATGAAACCAGGAACAAGAGTAGAGACTGACAGAGAAGTGAGGTGTGAGAGTTGCTGGACATAAGGTAGAGGAGTCTGGCAGAGGTGTTCATTATGGACTGTAGAAGAGCAATCTGGGCAGTTTTCAGGCTATAGACTGACATCTAGACATTAGGCTGTAGTATTTCTGGAGACTACAGTGTCCCTTGAAGGCAGGAAACAACAAAAAGATGGACAAGCATCTTAGTTACATACTGAGTGAAAGGGGGGGGCAAATGCAAAAAATGTTTTTAAGGGGAAAGAGACAGGATTTGGCAATAGATTTTATGTAAGTGGTGAAGGAAAAGTCAGAGTCAGGATCACACAAAATAACCCGGCCTCAGATGCAACTTTAGTGGCTGAAATGACAAGGAGTAAGTTTGTCTTGGAGAGGTTGAGTTTTAGGAACTTCAACAGAGATTTAAAAAAAAAAAAAAAAATTTTTTAGATCTTATATTTTGGCCTCAATTTTGCTATTCACTGCAATTTGAAGGATAGTGAATGTAGCGGAGCTGCAATATTAAATTCCACGATCTCCGCTGGTACAGAAAGTAATCCAAAGTCAAATGCTGAAAAGTAAGGCAATATCCCAAATCTCCCAGTAACCGGACAAAACACAGTTCTGGGAGTCAACTCAGGTTTTTATTCAGAGGTCACAGTATTTATGCAAGTCCCCATGCAAGGGGTTTCCCTACTGACATTGCAGGGGTAATACAGTAGGGGACTACATGGGGGATTTAACAATCTGGACATTTCTCCCATCAGGCACTGCTGGACGAGAGGGATACTCCCACTGGAATATACCGTTAAGTGGATTATCCCTCCGTGCAGCAGAACCGACATTTTACATGAAAATCTATAACTTTTCCAATATTCAGGTTATTTAGCCGAATGGACGTTAGGTAGATAGCTGGGGTCTGAGTGCACATTTCGTGAGAATACCGCTCAGATCCCAGCTTAAACAACCGAACGCCGCACGAAATACACTTTAAAATTGTGTTCGCCTAAAAGTACCGAACACCGATGGGGAACCACAATATTGAAAGACCGGAGCTCCCGAACGGCCTGGAAGTCCAGCGGTTTTCGCGCCGCCGAGTAGCCAATTTCGGCTCCACGCGCTCGACGACCAAACACCGCTGGTGAAACAAAGGATCCAAGATGGCCGACCGCCGCGTGGTCAGTAGCCGAACGACGGCCACCTAGGAAAGCCTTTAACTACCGATTGCAACAATGTTGCAATCGGTTAATGAGTGCCACACGTCCCTCTATGTGTGGACTACTGGGGGGTAGCTCATTCGTTTCACGAATAGCCGGTAAAGTCTCTGTTCGTGAAACGAAATACATGAATGCTAGCGGCTTTCGGCTGCTAGCATACGAATTCTATACACATAGCAGTACAGACCAATATTACAATATATAATCCAGCGGTTATTGCAGACAACCTTTTGTACATATAGTTCAGCAACACACATGTGGCTAGGTTTGCCACAGTGAATAACCCTGTACGGTTAAAAAAAAAAAAAAAAAATTATATATATATTCAAATAAACGAACATGTGTGAAATTTCACCTCTTTTTGGCTATTGAGAGCTTGCTCTACTTCCACCATTTCTCGCCTTTTCTCCAGGAGCCGAGTGGCTGGTGTCAGGAAATCATCCTCCCGTTCTGGCATCTTCCTGCATTAGACAGGATAAGGGTTAGTACACAAAAGGTCTAGTCTGCAATATCTTCCTTTTCTTTATCTTAAAACAATTTAAGAAAACATGGTCAACCAAGCAACTCTTATTAAAGAAAAACAACAACTTTGGCATCCTGCTCAGGCAAATATTCATAAAGCTCTTAGTTTTCTCTGTATTTTAAACAAGCCCCTTTTATCTTCTTTGCCTCCTGTAGAAATCTGTGATAAGCCTCCATTTGCAAACCTAAGAATTAACAGAACAGAGAAGAGCAGCGTGTCAGACTACCATCTGGTGCATGCTTGTGTAAGATTTCAGTAGAACACTGCAATAAACAGGGGCTTCATCTTAGTGGGAGATATGTATTATCTTAATAATTGAACAGATTTAGTGCCTGACCCCTAGTCCAAGGATATTTCCCTAAATCCACCCCCGCATAGCCTCCACAACCTTTTCAGGCTCCAGGACCAGTACAATCACCTTTTCCAACATTGTTCAGGCCCCTCTAAGTCTTCTTTCAGGGCACCTCATGTTCTGCCCTTCCGAAGGCATGTGCGTCAAATGACACTGATGCCGCAGGCTTCCAATGACCTGTGTTTGCTCTTTCAATCATAACAGAATCAATACAGAGGATGCGTGACACACCGCTCCCGGAAGAGACGTGAAGCTGGAAGAAGGTGAACACAAATTGACTAGACCATGACAAAGGCTGTGGAGCTCGACTAAAGCTCCATCCTTCATCCCTCTGCAAATCTTTGTGGTTTTTGTTAGTTTTTTTTTAACAATGCATATTTTCAAAGAGAAAGAGAAAAACTAGCAGCAGTGGGGGGGATTTGGTGGGACATACCTATGGGGGGCGGGAGGGGGGGATTAACAGATCTGCTTTAAGGCACAATGATGGTTTATTTCATCATAAAAATAACAACTTGGCCTGTAAATAGTCCACACGTTAAATTGCCAGAAGAGATACTCAAATGGTATGCATTCTTACTCAGTGATCAGACCTCTAATATGCCAAAATATTCTGGATATCCCTGTTATGTTGTCAACAAATAATAGCATCATCACATCTTTCAGTCGTAAGGGGTTTCTGCCCTAACCAGGGAATTGTGGAGAATTGTCGTGTGAATGGCAAAGTGCAGACCAAAATAGCCAGATTAGAATGTGAAAATGCATAATTTAACTCATTACACATCAATTGGGGGTATCTACAAGACCCGCAGATTTAATCTCCTACCTTTGCAAGCCCTACCCTTCTAACCCAGCCAAGATTGTCTGGTGCTGTCCAATCACAGTCTTCCAAATGAGCCTTTGCAAAGCAGGTGCTCTGAGCAATTCCCTCTTCTTGAGTTTAGTTCCAGTGAGCTAAATAACCAGGAAGTACCAGGACAAGGTTAAAATATAGAAAAAAAAAGTGCAAATTTCCATTGAAATATGCACTTTTGAAGAAAGAGGAACACTACAAACAGTCCAGTAACCTTATGTACCTTAGGTGTTGACTGTTCTTTTAAAGGAAATGTGAATTTCACAAATGTGAATTCCTAATGCGATTGTGCCCTATTCACCATTAAGGTGACCAGGCCTCTGCTGTCAGGGTTAAATGCCCTAAGAAAGCATTAGGAGGCTAGTGAGCATGCATGGTAAAATGTCATGCTGTGCCAGTCAGATGAGACCATCTGACTGAAAGTGAAGATGTACGCCACCATTTCAGCAATATTTCCAGGTTATAGAGTTCCTTTACTTGTAGAGTTATTCACAAAAGTAATAATGCAAAGAGATTTCAAATTGTATAATTAGAATCATAGCTGGCATGGAGAAAGTAGAAATTTGTGAGGTGAAATCCTATATTTTTCCTAGGCCATGGGTGAGATTTAAACCGTATTTGTAACAATTGATATAGATCTACACAGATATATAATCTGTTAGTATCCACTGAATGAGTGATGGTTAACTCTTGAGTGCACAGAGCAGTGTGACCCATCTGAATGCACGGTCTCTCGGCACTTCAAAAGTTTAAAAAAAAAAACTAAACCCAAACCACGGAGACTCATTGTAGGTTATAGAGAAGGAAGATAGACGATGAGCTATATAGCAAACAATAAATAGATATCTGTGTATAACACCACTATCAACAGTAAACACATGATCTGAACTACAAAGGGTGAAATGATCGCAGTGATAATGCCCTCACACCAGCAACTTGTCCTCAAAGGCCGCTCGGAAATACTCTCGCAGATCGAACTCCATGATGAACCGCACACCGGACAAGCTGCACAGCCGCTACACAGTATTCGAGTAACCATGGAGATCGAAGCCCGCCCACAAACACCCGAACGCTGAACTTGCTATCGCGGGAGTTATTCTACAACACGGGACAGAGAAGGAGAGAGGGGGGCGCACGGGCTGATTGGCAGAGTAACATTGGTTCTTTCTAATTCTAATGGCTGTGATTAGACTTTGTATTTATTCATTTGATTATTTTAATATATGTAGTTATCAGCTTTTACATAATGTTCCCCCAAATCACTGAATCGTACAAATATAAATCACCAGAATAAACAGCTCTCCTACCTCTAATTTACATTTAAATTATATGTTGCATTGCAATACAACCCACACATTTAAATAATTGCAGCATATAGGGGGAATCCAGGCATACAAATATTAATTATAATAATTGGGATTTTAACATTTTGGCCAGTAAAACATGATCTTAATAAACCAAAATAAATTTGCAATAAGTAACTGATGTTTCAATGGGTTAATTGCCGTTGGGTCACTGATTTTCACATGGATTTACACTGGGCACCCTCTATTAAACACACTTGTCTTTAGCCTGGTGCAATTATCAATTGGGAATCGAAAACAGTGGGCATCTTCGTCTGTGTAAATCCATGTGAAAATCACTGGCCCAAGGAAGGCTGAACTTGATGGACACAAGTCTCTTTTCAGCTATGTAACTATGTAATATATTTGGCTGAAGTAACCTGTTATGTACTAAAGGTGAGTTTTTGTAAATATATATATGATTTTAAATAAGTATTGGCATTAAAATTAAGATTACCATCAGGCAACAAATAAAAACTAACATAGCAGTTTGGCTAGATATATGCATATATCTACCATAAGACTTAAGAGTTATTAATCGCTAAGGCAAGTTAAAAAATGTTTTAAAAAGTAGGTATGCCATTCATGTCCTTATGGCCTTCTCCTCGGTGAATCCACACTGACCCAGCTGTGAGAATGTGGTATGACTACCATGTGCGTCCCCTGGACTTTTTAGCTTGTGCCAATATTTTTCTTTTGAGATTCAGAATACACTGCAATACCGGCTGTGTATGGAGAAAGGCAGGATATGAAGCTACATCCCAGCTTCTCTCTCCTGACTGAATCCACAACGGAGCAGCACAGAGTGCAGCCAGCAACTCCCAGACTGCAGAGGCAGCCTACAGATGAGGTAAGTGAGACATGTAGGGGGGCAGCCTACAGATGAGGTAAGTGAGACATGTAGGGGGGCAGCCTACAGATTAGGTAAGTGAAGCTTGGGGGGCAGCCTACAGATTAGGTAAGTGAAGCATGGGGGGCATCTTACAGATCAGGTAAGTTAGGCATGGGGGGTAGCTTACAGGAAGGGTCAGAAAGGAGCAGGAAGGTAAGTAGAAGACTGAGCAGAAAGGAGAAGAAGCAGAAATGAGCAGGAATGGACACTAAAGGAACACTACAGGGTCAGGAAAACAAAAATGTAATTCTGACCCTTTAGTGCAAAACCCATTATTTAGGTGGCTTGCCCAGCCCCCTTAAAAGTTAATAAAACTCACCTTATTTCCAGCGCCGCGCGGGTCTGCCGGCACTGGCCCAATCTGGCCCTGCCCCACATTTTAATCAATGCATCTCCATGAGGAAAATTCAGCATCCCCATGCAGAGCGTGGAGACGCTGAACGGCACTGCTGTCTACTGTGCAGCACTGAACCAGGAGGCACCTCCAGTGGCCATCTGAGGAGTGGCCACTTGGAGGTTTCCCTAGGGGGAATGTAAACACTGCCTTTTCTATGAAAATGCCTGAAGGCAGCTATTATACTCACCAGAGCAACTACATTAAGCTGTACGTTGTTCTGGTGACTATAGTGTCCCTTTAAGGAGCAGAAAGGGTCTGCAGAAAGGAACAGAAATGAGCAAGAAGGGGAAGTAAGGAGCGTAAAGGGACAGAAGGAACACAAAGGTAATGTAGGAGAAGAGCAGAAAGTAGCAGGAAGGGTCATAAGAAGCAGAAGGGAGCAAAAGTAGCAGAAAGGGATCAGAAAGAGAAAGAAGCAGAAGGGCGCAAAAGAAGCTGAAAGGTAAAGGAGCCAAGGAGAAGAGAAGATAGTGTCAGAATAAAAAGAAGACTGTGCCAAATGAGGGAGAAGAAAAGAAGACTGGAGCAGGAAGGACAAGTGAAGTGATCCCTCCACTTCATTCTGGACACCACATCATAAGACTTTGGTCCCTGGGCCTGGCAGGAAAACTTTGGGCCCTCTCATCTCCCCAGGTAAAAACAATTAGTGTTAATGTGTTCACTTTTATTTACTGAGTGTCAGGAAGCACAGAGTGCCACTGGTAGGGATGCCGCAGATTTGTCAGGTGGCACTCTAGCCAATCAGCAGCCCCCATGCCTGACGTCAATCTGCACTTCCTGACACTCTGTTTCAGAAGCCGAATACTACTGAGCAACCTGGAAATCTGGAGCAGGAGGAAGCTTTTGGGTTTAAACCATGTGAGAGCGGCTTAATCCCTTAAAGGAAAGAAAGCGCCCAGGAGCCTCCTGGCATCATAGCACTTTAATTTAGATGAAGTTGTTATGGTAACCAGAATGTTCCTTTAATTTGCCAAACGTATTCCTGAGACCATAGTTGTGAAAACGCTATTTACGTATCCTCCCCCACCCCAATGGGTGTCCTGTTTTTTCCCCTCCAAAATCTGTTCACCCTGGCTTTATGTGATCATGACTATGCCCCTCCCCTTCATGACACTGTCAAAAAGGACCAAGCATGGATGTCATTACAATTATGCCCCCACCCCCCCCCCCCCCCCGGAAAAATTCGTGCCGACGCCCATGATGACTACCTCACTCATCTCTAATTATACAGTTTAAGATACAGCCAGGAGACTACGCTATGCTTTTGTTTTGTTGTTGTTGTTATATTTTATGTTTTTATTGTGGAAAAAAACATAAGAATGGCGCTTATTTATATCAACTGATGGCCTTCTCTGTCTTGTACCTTGCTAAATGTAATGTTACTTGACATTCTTAATAAACACGTAATAGAGGTATGCACTAACAGATTAAGTTCGGCCTTGCTCCAACTTCCCTAGTGTCCACCAAGCAGTACTTTCCATGGCTACTATGTCTAGCGATCCTGCCTAGTCCATGTTTGTTTATTATTTTCCTACTCTAGTCACTACTCCCTAACGTACCATCTAATCAGGGGTTCTCAACCCAGTGCTCAAGGACTTAGGGATTACCTGGGTGTGTCTAAGGTGTTCAGAAAAAGAAAAACACCTTAGACACACCAAGATAATCACTAAATCCTGGACTGGTAGGGGGTCCTTGAGGACTGGGTTGAGAACCCCTGACCTATATAGGTTGCCTCACTAACCCTAGCATTAACTTGCACTTTAATTCTTAGCCTATTATTTGGCAGTTATTTGTGTCATATCCCTCACATTTCGCTATGACTACCTTGCCCATTCTATATAAAGTTAACTTGCATCATGCCTTATAATCACTATGTCCGTTGTTGAAATTTGTGTATTGTCGCATTGCAAATATCTCCTTACTTTCTTGTTTGCACTACAAATAAAGAATGTAAAAAAAAAAAAAGGTATGCATTAGAAATGTTTCTCTCATTGAATTGTGCCTTGGTCAAAAATTGGTTGTGAAGCACTGATGTGGCGGGGTTTTGCTGACAACTGAGTGACAGGAAAGAGCAGGAGAACCCTCCCACAGATGGTTCTCCTGCTCCCCTTTACACCACCTGCATTGCATGCACCCTGGCAGACACACCCCTCTGCTGTCCTTTTCCATAGTCACTAGTACTACCTCCCTCTCCCAGTGCCAGGACTACAATGTAATACATATAACAGCACTAGTATTTTTGCATGAATTGTAAGCTAAAATGTCTAATCTTCATCACCTTAACCAGTACAATTTTGGTGCCAAAACAGATCTACAAAGGCCTAGCAATGCTGTCACAGAAATGCTGCATGCAGTTTGTTCTCCTGCACCAGGCAGTATAGAAGTTATGAATATATTAAACTGCAGTATACAATGTTGTCACTGGATGGCACTATTGGATCATAATTTATTATGTACTACCCTCAATGGATTTGAATTAATGGGAAATCTTTGTAGTAGGATCAAACAGGAAAGGCAGGGTGAACCATAAAACACACAAGGAGTAACAAAACATATTATGGAGCATGAGCCTTGAGATGTTAATTAAGCATAATGATTTTGTATCATGTACGCTCAGTGGAAGGCACAAGCCAACAGACACCTCCTACTGCCAATAGGAGTCCTCAGTAATACCTAACCTGTATTTTCTAATTGTCCTCTGACTAATGTATCTATGGTCCTGACATTTGCCCCGATCTCTATTGCAGCAGACTATGTCTTCTGTATATTTCTTTTATATCTTGTTCTGTCCTGAACATTGCTAACTAGACTTGCTCACATATCCTTTTCAGTTGCGAAATCGAATCTAATTCCTGTTAGCCTACACCCAAACGAATCAGTCTGTCACATAAGTCCTGGACAGATCGATGGTTTTTGGCATAGATTAACAATCATTTGATTTATTCATTGCAGCTGAAAAGGATTTTGCTTACCCCGTTGCCACAGATATTTTCAATAAATATATTCCACTTTGTATAAAAAGCATTTTTTCTGAAGGGGTAAAGAAACAAAAATTAATGGTTCAGCAAGAAGATTTCTTTGGTTTCCATAGCAATTCTTAGGGCGACCTCTAACATTTGCAGAGCCCTGGCAAATTTGTGGCCACCACCTTTTTAAAGGACCTCTTAGCTGCCAGTTTTATTTAGAAAAGAAAGTATCCCTTGCAGTATTCCCCCTTTCATGTCTAAGCAAACAATTCTGCATAAATGTGTGCGCACACAGATTTAAACCCACACCTAAAGAGGTGTGTTAACAAACAAACTATGGACCTTGCTGGTGGGGGCTGATTGGGGCTAGCAGAGGCGGAACTATTGTAGATAGGGCCCAGGTGCAAGAAATTATTTTGGGC